TGACTTGAAGGGATTCTCTCTTCCATTCAAGTCAATTAGGGTGACGAAATTAGTTGAATCTCTGGGGCCAGAAACCTCAAAAGTTTCAAAAGAAATAAAAGCACGGATTTACTAATGAAGCCTTGTTGGAGCCTGCTGTAATTTCAAGGAGCAGGGCCTGATAGAATCATAGAATTGTAGAGTCAGAAGTGACACCCCAGGGTCATCTAATCCAATCCCCAGCCATGCTGGGGTATCCTTGGGTTATGTACTGAGTTGAATAGGATCCAAAATGCAGCAGTCTGATTGGTCCTAGAACAATAGGATCCAAAATGCAGCAGTCTGATTGGTCCTAGAACAATAGGATTCAGAATGCAGCAGTCTGATTGGTCCTAGAACAATGCAGCAGTATGATTGGTCTGCAGGAGCCACCCTATCCAGCTCCAGATGGAAGTGAATCCACAACCTGATTGGCCTACAGGAGAATTCCGGAATTAGCCAATCACGTTCAGCCCATTGTGTAAATAATAGCAGATACTTTGGGGAAACTCTCATTCCTCCTCACCACTATGAGCTGAATAAAGAGCATAAAATCCACTCCTTGACAGGTGGTCATCCAGCCTCCATTTAAAAACCTCCAAGGAAGAAAAGCCCACCACTTTCTGAGGTTATCAGTTCCACTATCAAATGGCTCAGTCTGCCTTTAAAGAATCAATTGCTCTTCACAGAGAACTCTGGGAATTGTAAGCTCTGGGAGGGAAACACGGCATCTCCTAACAATTCTCAATACCCCTACCAAATTCCAGCTCCTAGGATTCTTTGGTGGAAGCTGTGGCTGTTTAAAGTGGTGTCATAGTGCTTTAAATGTATGGTGCAGCTGCTGTATACAGTGGGCCGGTTGTGTGTCACTTGAGAACAGTGCTGTTGAAAACAGCCACGTAAGCTTCTGCTCTGTGCTGGTTTGCTCACTTACAGAGCCAACAGTGTCATGTGGTGGTTAAAGAGTGTTCAGCTAAGAGCTGGGAGAGCAGGGTTCAAATCCCCCTACTCAGCCATGAAGCTCACTGGGTGTGACCTTGGTCCAGTCACTGCCTCTCAGCCTAACCTCCCTTGCAGGGTTATTGTGGGGATTAAATGAGGAGGTGGAGAAACATGACACCTGGAGCTCCTTGGAGGGAAAATGCAAAGTAGAAGTGCAGTAGATAAAATAAATCCGTGGAATGAAAAATTATTGGAGAACATATTTTAAATCCACGCACTACAAACTGTGACCTGTTAGACAGGCATGGAAGAGGCTTCCAGCATTCTGGCATTTGCACCAGGATGCAATGGGTATTTACTTTGTCCTATGGGGAAAAACATATTTTGAATCCAGAAACCCTGTTGTCGTTCCTTCTCAACCATAGCAGCTGGAGCAAAATCTGTTTCAAGATTTATAAATCTATAAAAAGCAGTACATTTTTTTTTAATATACCCCTTGCAATGCAGGAATCACAGCTGGAGAATCCCTGACAGATGGTGATCTGACCTCTGCTTAAAAATCTCCAGGGAAGGAGAGGAAAGGGAAAGTGAACAAGAATCTGTCAGATCTTAACTTGCAAAAATGTATAAAACAAAAAATAAGGAATGTTGGAAATGTAAAGAAAAGGAGAGGAATTTCTATCATATGCAGTGGACTTGCAGTAAAGTGAAAGCTTACTGGGAAATGATATATAATGAGTTAAAGAAATTGTACAAGAGTACATTTGTTTAAAACCCAGAAGGGTATAGTAGGTGAAGAAATCCCAAAGAGAGATCAAAAACTGTTTATGTATGCAACTAGGGCAGCAAGGACTCTTTTAGCCCAAAAATGGAAACAACAAGAATTACCAATATTTGAAGAGTGGCAGACGAGGATGATGGAATATGCAGAATTGGCGAAGCTGACTGGGAAAATTTGAAACCAGCATGATCAAGCTTTCTGAAAGGACTTGGGTAAATTTGTACGATATTTGAAGGACAAGCAAACAATTAACAACACTAGCAGGACTGAGCTAAAAGACTTGTAATGATTATGATTCATACCTTCTTATATTTATGTAAAAATGTGACAATTGAAATGATGAAAAATAAGCAGGAAAAAAGACAAATGCTATGACACAGAGAGGAAATATGGTAACTATGAGGTGGGAGGGAGGGAAGTCGAACAGCTCGTAAGAGCAAAATTTACTGTGGAAAATAAGGGTGTATTTAAATGTTACAAAATGGAAAACTAATAAATATTATATATTTTTAAAAAGAATCTGTCAGATCTCAGTCACCATCTGATTTCAGCATCCATTGCCAAATTACTTGTTTGGGAGTGACACTAACTGTGACCATGCACATTCCTACCACACCCACACATCCACATCATATAGTATTCAGGTCATTGAATCATTCACACAAAATACAGTGGTACCTCGGGTTAAGTGCTTAATTCATTCTGGAGGTCCGTTCTTAACCTGAAACTGTTCTTAACCTGAAGCACCACTTTAGCTAATGGGGTCTCCTGCTGCCGCTGCAGCACGATTTCTGTTCTCATTCTGATTCAAAGTTCTTAACCCGAGGTACTACCGGTATTTCTGGGTTAGTGGAGTCTGTAACCTGAAGGGTATGTAACCTGAAGCATATGTAACCCGAGGTACCACTGTAGTCATATTTGGGGTGAAACATTACTGTTCTATACAATATGGGATTGCTGGAAAAGAGAAGTAGGGAGAGAGGGAGGTAAAAAAATTTTACATTGTATATGTGCAAAGCTTTTGTGTCAGCATCACGTAGACAGGTATTTTATTTTGCTGGCACTGCGAAAGTACAGAGGGCCCAAGGCATGGTTGGTTGCAGACACCTACCCAGCCCTATTGAAATCAGTTGGAGTTACTTTCAAGTAAAAAAACCACAGGCTGCCCACAACCTTTGAGAAGAGAACATTTCCACAGTACAGAGATAATCACTTCACAAAAGGACCTGCTTTTAACTTCTCTTTCTTGAAGAAGAGGGTAATTCCTTGTGAACCCTATATTTGCAATCACACAGTTCAATATGCACATACACCGTGCTAAAGCGTGGTGTTGATAATGCCAAGGTTGCAAGTTCGGTCCCTGTATTGGACAGTTGCATATTCCTGGTCCCTTCCAACTCTACAACTCTCTGATTCTATGGGCAAGTTTACAGGGGATGTAGATGAGGATACTGAGAACAGGCCATCTTTTTCAGAGTGAATCTCAGTGCTTGGAGACAGCTGTTTGCAGGGATAGCTTAAAAGGCATGGGGTTGGGGGTGCAAATTTAATTGCATACATGTGTGTGACAGGGTTGTGGTGGTGCCAGGAGATGGTCAGAGAAAGCTGGCTGTGATATGATCCTGTTAAGATACTGGGAGCAGGGGGAGCAGCCAGGCTGGTCTTGTGCCATCCTTGAGTCTGGATTATTTGCTTCCTTCCTGGTGCAAATTAGCCAGATGACTCCAATTAAGCTTCATGGCATCAGGGGCCCACTTCTGATCTTATTCTTTATCCTACGGTTTTAAATCTGAGGGGAATTGCAAGGGAGTTGAGGAAATACTCTGAGGACATGTATCAACCAATAGGAGGATGATATTGAAGCTGTAAGGCTTCCTAAAAATGAACAGCATTGATCGTGCATGATAATATATGAACCCTACCATAAGACTGCATTTCTGGTTCTGAGGCAAGGTATAGTTTCCATCTCTCTCAATCAATACAACAATTAGGGGATTCAACTAAAACAAGTAGAGGATTTATCTTTGCCCTTTGGGGATTTTTTTTTTAAGGGGGGTATTATTGTTTCCAGAATCCCAGTAAATGAACCAACCAGTAAAATGAGAGTGCAGATCCTGTACAAACAGTGGAATGAATTGGATGAACAGTAAACGCTTAAGACATTACATTACACACCAATATATTTTGCAAATCCCTTTTTTAAAAAGTGCCACAGAATTGCACATACACAGCTGAATTTATATAAGAAAATGGCAACTGCAAAGATACTCTGAAACTACGGTCTTTGATCTTGTCTACAGCTGCCAAGAATCTACTTTGTACCTAAGGTGCCAAGAAACCAAAATGTAATGCCTTGCCAATGGAGATCTGGTTGAGCCAAAGCTGCTGTTCAGTTTTAACTAGTGCTTTTTCCCCCCTGGGGGAACGCATACCCCTAAACATTTTGTGAATCTAAGCTTGGCCTCATTGAGGGGCAGTATTTCAATATGAGTAGGAAAATGAGAGTACCCCTAAACATTTCTTTAGGAGAAAAGCACTGGTTTTAACCAAGTGCCACGTCACCTCAGTGGCTGCAAAGGAGCATCCTTTTGAGAGCACCTGATCAGTAATTTAAAGACCAAATGGAAGTCCCAATGAGCTTTGCATCCCTGAGAGGAGGGCATCAAACAGAAGCAGCACAATTTGTGTGGGGAGAGAAAAGCAGACAAGGGCAGACCCCTACCCCACCCCACCCCAGTGTCTAGGCTACAATTTGCAGGCAGCCCAGGCGGTGAGGTGGAAACCCTAGTTCTGCCCCAGGAGGCAGATGTCCTTGAGCCCAGGCAAGGGTGAGGTGCAGCCAGCAGGCAAGAGGCAGCACCAAGGAGTCTGGGAGGTCTAGTGGAGAGAAGGACAGATGGAAGGTAGGGAGAGACCATCTGCACCATTCTCCTCACACACAAGCACAAGCATCCAAGCCCCTTTCCTTACCGAAGAATTGCTAAAACAAAAAACAACTTTATTTACCGTATTTTTTGCACCATAACACTCACTTTTTTCCTCCTAGAAAGTAAGGGGAAATGTCTGTGCATGTTATGGAGGGAATGCCTACGGGTGGCATGCCTACGGATTTTCCTCCTCTAAAAACTACGTGCGTGTTATGGTCGGGTGCGTGTTATAGAGCGAAAAATACGGTATTTTTATTATTTAATTAAACTTGAATACTGGCCTTCATTTGAAGATCCCAGAGTAGTTCGCAGCATAAAATTACACGAATATATCTTGTAAATAATCTTAAAAATTTTATGCCACTTGATTGTTAAAAAGCCTCAAAGTGGTTTACAAAATAAATAACATTCAAAAATATTACAGAATAAAACATCCAAAAATGCTAAAACCAGCAATAAACTACAAACACATCAACTTTCTAAATTTCTCAACAGGCTTTCCTATATGTTTTTAGCTGGCACCAAAAAGAGTAGGCAGGGAATTCTCAAGATGCTGCCACACTAAAATACTTTTTGAAGGGAGGGTGGAAATAAGGGGAAGTGCTCCCCTGCTCAGAAAAGCACCCCAAGGTGGTTTGAGCATGTTCGATGGCCACAGATTGTTGACTGACTGTATTTGGGGGAGAGGAACAAAAACTGAAGGGTGGGGAAGTAGTTGGAGCCCTGAATAGAAGTATTACACACGGCAACGTTTTGCTGCAGGTGCTCCTTATTGGAGATTTAATCATTTATTATCATCCCACCTTTCCTCCAGGGAGCTCAGTGTACATGGTTCTCTCCCTCCTCATTCAATCATCCCAACTACCGTGTGAGGCAGCTTAGGCTCAGAGTGAGTGACTGGCACCCAAGGCCACCCAGTGAACTGTCGCGCAGCGGTAAATTAATCAACGCAGAGTCTTCTTCATAAACAGAATTAAACTTTAATGAAGAAAATTAACTTGTTCATAAACAGCATAGTTAAAGAGCATACACAGAGTGCTCATAGTAGCTATCTGACTCTTCACAGAGGCGTAGTCTTAACTACTGATTAACTAGAGTCCTGGAGCCACTCTTGTCTGCCTTAGATTTACATTCACAGTAACCCATTACAACAGCAGCACAGATACTACACTGGGCCTGCCTGCAAACAGGCTACAAATTTATAGAGAGAATGAGTGATCCTGTAGATAAATTACAATGATTCAGCAGTTTGCTTTTAACAATTATCAGTTTTCAGGCTTGAATGATTGTGTAGGCCTTGTAGGCCTTGCGTTACTTATTCTGCTCTCAAGAACCTTTGTCTCATGACATGAGCCTCATGTCCAAGCGGAGAATTCAGCCCTGGTCTTTCCTAGGTCCTAGTATGACATACTGACTCTGATGTCACATTGGAGCACAACTGGACTAATGCTTCTGCTGGCAAATGGTGCACACTTCTTCACCTTGTGTGGCATCGTCAGTCTTGGCTACGAGGTTCCAAACATCACTCTCCTGATAAGGGGAAAAATAAACAAGTCAGCTAGTAGGAAATACTTGCAGGGCAATCTTGTCAACATCACTCTGTCAGCACTAGGGGTGGGCAAATCTTTCTTTTTTGGTTTCATTCTGTTTCCTCTTTATTCCAAGTTCAGTTCTCAACACTTTGAATGTTTGTGTATATACACACACACGCCCCTCAGGAAAACTCAAGTGTTTTAGTGCAACTTCTTCCCATTATTCCCATTTGTATATGACTAACACACGTTATTGCAGAACAATTTCCTCTTAGTACAATGCATTTTTGCACCTGACTTTCACCAATACACACAATTTTATTCATGATTTATGCTGGTATGTGCTTTTTTGCACACATCACTTAGCTAGAGAAGTCCAGGTTTTGGAGGATGGCTGTTTCGGTTTTGAAACCTGTGTGTGAGGCAGGTTTAAATCAAGTTTCTCCTCTGTCCCTAGTCAGCATCCATTCTTACAGAGGCAGAGTGGGTGCCATGTGGCACCTGTAGGAGTGGGAAATCAGGAGCAGACTTGCCTCCCAAAACACTTCTGTATGTGCCTAACCCAACTGACATTCATAGCGTTAACAGGTATAGTGACTGAGATGCTCACAGAACTGTAGAGTCATCTAGTCCAACCTCCTGCAAAGTTGCTTATATGCTGTTCAGCTTTGGACCATTATTTGCTTTGAGCACAACTTTAGAAAAGTGGCAAAGAAGTATTTAAGTACTATATGAAGGCCATACCTGCTAAGGACTAATGTATGTGCACAATCACCTTACACCATGTACACCCGCTCAACCCAGTTAACAGTCAAGCATTCTAAAACTAAAGTGGTGATTTTGGGGAATAAGAGAAAACCTCACAGATGGAGTTCGGACAATAAACCCATTGAACAACAACGCTATTATAAATACCTGGGCTTGGGTTTTAATTCAAAATTGTCCTGGAAGCCACACCTCCTCGCAGCTAAACTGAAATCCTCTCACTTGATTCATTCTTTATTACGGTTTGCGGAGGTCAGGGGTGGGAGTTTAGTTGCCCCCACAGTTAAGGTATTTCAAAAGAAGATTGTGCCACAATTATTGCACGGTGCAGAGATTTGGGGATATAGATATAGTAATGTCCTCCCGTTAGAAGTGGTGCAGAACTCTTTCCTGAAATCACTGTTGATTGTTCCCAAAGGTATACCTGCCCCCTTTTTAAGAGCTGAAGCAGGGCTAATTTCCTTACAAACCAGTGTGCATGTAGCACTAGCCCTATTCTGGCTGAAGTTGGTTAGCATGAGTAATACTAGGCTCCCTAAAAAATGCTTCCTAGAGCAATTGCAATCTATGCCACGAAGCTCTTGAGCAAACTCCGTCAGTAAGAGTCTCCATTATTATGGGTTTAATGCGGACTCCCTATCAAATTTTACCTCTAACAGAGTCAAACAACTCATCAAAGAAAATTTTTATTTAGTCTCTAAATGGAGGGACCTTCATTCACTGTCCCAGATGTCATATTCATCCTGGTATCCAATATATAAAACATCTTTTGGGCCGGAGCAATACTTTATTAATCTCATGCTGGCACTACTTAGAAAAGCATTTACAGCTTTGTGTTTTCAGTGTGTGCCCTCCGCATATCTAAAGGGAAGATTTAATAACACCCCTGTGTACCAAAGACTCTGCATCTGTGAGTTGGGAGATGCGGGGGATATTCAACAGTATTTGTTATGATGCTCTTTATATACATCCCCTAGAAAAAAAATCCTTGATTACATTCTTTGTTCTCTCTCCAACCGACCTCCCCTTGAGCAAATATCTATTTTGCTGGCTGGCAATAACATATTTATTACTGCACAGGTTGCAAAATTTGCCTTGGCTGCAAGTAAGCTGTGAGCTTAGCACCAATACAAGTATCATAAGGGGAAGTGAGAAGTAGAGTGCTTAACATATGTAAATGTGATTTTTGCATTATTGTATGTTTGCTTTGCTGTTGTTGCTGTTCAGTTTTAAATTAATTATTTGTATCCTACACATTGTGACCAATTGTAACGGCTTATAGCTTTTAGCAATAAAGATTTCATTCATTCACCCACACAGCCATTGCCATTTGCAGAACCAGAACTGTTACAGGTGCCACAAAATACTTCTCTGCATTTGCCAGAAATCTATCCTTTTGTGTGCCAACATCTACACTTCAGAACTCCCTGCCTATTTACATCAAGCAGGTACTACTAGAAACATTTTTGTTTACACAAGCCTACCCTGATGTGCAGAATGTCGAGATGAGCTTTAATCTGGATTTCATTTTATCACTGATTATTTTCCATATTATTTTTAAACTGTAAGGTAAAGATAAAGGGACCCCTGACCATTAGGTCCAGTCGTGACCGACTCTGGGGTTGCGGCGCTCATCTCGCTTTATTGGCCGAGGGAGCCGGCGTACAGCTTCCGGGTCATGTGGCCAGCATGACTAAGCCGCTTCTGGCAAACCAGAGCAGCGCACGGAAACGCCGTTTACCTTCCCTCCGGAGTGGTACCTATTTATCTACTTGCATTTTGATGTGCTTTCGAACTGCTAGGTTGGCAGGAGCAGGGACTGAATAATGGGAGCTCACCCCATCACGGGGATTCAACCGCTGACCTTCTGATCAGCAAGTCCTAGGCTCTGTGGTTTAACCCACAGCGCCACCCGCGTCCCTTTTTTTAACTGTATTTACCAGTAATCTCTCTTTTACTCTTTTCGTAAACAATTTGGTTTTTTACAGTCAAGTGGCCTATAGAAATCTGCACATCAAAACAGCCAGAATAATAATAATAATAAAGGGCAGCCCCTTATTTTCCCTTCTATAGTTTTTTGCTCAAGAGCAGAGGAAGTTGGGTGACTAACCGGCTGCTCCCTGCTTTCAACTGTAAGGTTTTGGAAGGATGAAAAAGATTGAGGAGCGAGCCAAGCCTCTGTTTCTCGGCAGGCAGGACATTCAGGAGTTGTAGGGTTCAGCTCCAGCCCACTGCTGCTCCCTGCCTCAGCAGCCCCTTCCCCATGGTGATTCTCTTCTCTTATGGTGGCCAGGACGTCAGCCTGGGTGGAGAGGTTCTGCAGGTCCAGCTCTGTACACTCCACGGGGGCATGAGGCCAGTGGTCTAGCCTCTCCGTGGCACATGAGGAGACAGGGGCCACTGGGGGGCCACTGGGGGCTGCACCACAGTCCTGTCTAAGGTCTGTCAAGGAATAGTCGCTGTAGCCAGAGTCCCTGAAAAAGTGCTGGTGCTCCGCAAGGCTCCTGCCCAGAGGAGCTTGATTGCTGGCAGGAATCACCTGAACAAAGTCCCGGTCGGGCTCCTGGAAGGGCCGGTGAACCCCAGGAACTCTTGAGACAAAGTGGACAGCTTCAGCCAGACCTTAAAAAATCAAGGGGAGGGGAAAAGAGACAATTTAAGAACATGGAGCAAGATGTTGTTTAGAATTATAGAACTGTAAGGTTGGGACCCCGAAGGCTCATGCAGTCCCATTTTTTCCTGCAGTGCAGGAATCACAGCTAAAGATTCCCTGACAGAGGGCCACCCAACTTCCACTTAAAAACATCCAAGGAAGGACAGTCCATCACCTTCCAAGGGAGTCCATTCCATTGTCAAATGGCTCTTGCCCTCAGAAAATTCTTCCTGGTGTTTAGTCAAAATCTCCTTTCTTGTAATTTGAATCCATTGGTTTGCATGCTCTCCTCCAGAGCAAGAGGAAATAAGCTTGCTCCCTCTTCCATGCGGCAGCTCTTCAGGTATTTGAATATGGCTTTCATAAATGCTGTTGAAATTAGGACCCCCCCACCCCCCTCTGCAAATCTCTCAATTTAAAGGCACTGGTTTCCTACAGCCACCTCTCCCTGGTCTCCCAGGAAAGGGAAGAGGAGAAGGCAAATCACCTCATGGATCTCTATGTAGCTAATTCCTCCTCCCAACACCAATGGATTTTCCCTCTGCCTTCCCAAATTGGCAACAGTCTCATCTGTACCTTTGCAAATGAAAAATTAAAGCTATTCAAAGCAATGGGTCTTCCTGATCATGCTTCCCTTTCCTTGAGCTTCTTCTAATCCAGGGGTACACAAACTGCAACCCCCCAGCAAGATTTTTCTGGACTACAACTCTCATCAGCCCCAGCCAGCATAGCATGTGGTCAGGGATGATAGGAGGTGTAGCCCAACAACATCTGGAGGGCCGCAGGTTGTGCACCCCTGTTCTAAACTAAGAAGGCCAAATTACTGTTGGCTTCTCTCGCAGGCTGTCATTTGCATCTCACCCTCATGATCCTGCCGATCTTTTGGTCATAAGAGCCCTGCTGGATCAAGCCAATGGCCCATCTAGTCCAGTGTCTTGTCCTCACAGTGGATGCCGCAAAGAGAAACTCACAAGGAGTTCCTGAGCACAAGAAGCCTTTCCTCTCTTGCAGCTTCCAGCAACTGGAATTCAGAAGAACTGCTGCCTGCAACTGTAGCAGTAGAGCACAGCCATCATGGCTAGTAGCCATTGATAGCCTTCTCCTCCTCCATTATTTGCCCAATCCTTTTTTTAAAACCATCCAAGTTGGTGACCACCATTGCCTTCTGTGGCAGGGAGTTCCAAAGTTCAACTGTGTAGCATGAAGAAGCCCCTTTTCTTTTATCTGTCCTGAATCTTCAAACATTCAGCTACATTGGATGTCCGAAAGTTCTATTGTTAAGCATGCTAGATTCCTGTGTTTGAATAAGATCCTAAGTATTTGGATACATGAACTATATTGCTTAAAGAAACGGAGACAGAGAGAGAGAGAGAGAGAGAGAGAGAGAGAGATGGAGAAACCACAATTCCTTCACCGCCCACCCCCTCTGGGCCTCAGAGCATCACCATTAGAGTATTACCTTCCTGTGGCCTTTGCCAAGGACTCAAACGCTTGATGGCTACAGAGAAGGAGTTGGACAGGAACGTGCGGCAAGGGAAGGCAGCAGACATGGCAGAATCTTGAAATGTCTCCTCCTGGTCAGATAAATCCTGACTACTCTGGCACGCTTGAAAGATAAAAAAGATACAGAGGAAAAACACTGTCAACACACACACCTAGTCATCAGCGATGTAAGGAATAAAAAAAACAGGAATATCAGCCTTGCAAGTAAGTCTTCATACACTGAGAAACTGATACTACATAGCCAGGGACATGGGTGGTGCTGTGGTCTAAACCACTGAGCCTCTTGGGCTTGCCGATCAGAAGGTTGGCGGTTCGAATCTGCACGACGGAGTGAGCTCCCATTGCTCTGTCCCAGCTCCTGCCCACCTAGCAGTTCGAAAGCACACCAATGCAAGTAGCTAAATAGGTACTGCTGTGGCAGGAAGGTAAATGGCATTTCCGTGTGCTCTGGTTTCCGTCACGGTGTTCCGTTGCACCAGAAGCAGTTTAGTCATGCTGGCCACATGACCCAGAAAGCTGCCTGGACAAATGCTGGCTCCCTCGGCCTGAAGCAAGGTGAGCACCACACCTCACAGTCACCTTTGGCTGGACTTAACCGTCCAGGAGTCCTTTACCTTTTTACCTTGACTACATAGCCATGATGCGAGTCAGTGTACTGTGGTGGATACAGCACTGGGCTAGGACTTTTGGGGACTTTTGAATCCCCACTCGGCCATGTGAAGGCCACTGGGTGAGACTTTTGGGTCCAATTGCTGTTTCTCTGTGTCTAACCTACCTCACAGGGTTGTTGGATTAAGTGAGGAGGAAGGAGAACTGCATGTGCCACCTTAAGCTCCATGGAGAAAAGGGTGGGATATAAATTCAGTAAATAAAACAAATGTGTGTTTTATTAATCCCACCTGACCACATTCTGACTATCCACAGAGCTTGTCAAAAAAGGAAAAGAACCAGTCCAGTTATTATTGTGATTGGTAATTAATTACCTATTATAAAGTAAGGACATATGTAACTTAGGACAACCTAGCACCTTTCTTTTATTACAACTCAGTTATTATTACATAATAAGAAAAGCACTGCTCAAACTATAGAAAGCACTTCACAATTAGCATTTTCCTTTTTACAACAGCCCAACGAGATATGCACCTATTATGCCCATTTTTGCAAACGTGGAAACTGAGGACAAAAAGCAGTAACTTGCACCAAGCATCCAGAGGGGATGTGCAAAGAATAGGTCCTCTGGGTCCCACTAGCCTGCTAGCTACTCTCCATTCTACCTGCTCACACCACACTTAGGAAGTTTAAAGAGCCCTGGGGTAAGAGACACAATTATGGGGCTGTCTAGGATGGTGCAGAAAAGTGGGGAAGGGTGTAGTCAACAGCAAGAAATGCCAAAGGAAGTGGAGAAAGCAATAGAACATATTCTGTAGAAGTGAAAAAACCTCTTGAGAGGTGAGACCTCTCAGCAGGACCAGTGAACCACATCAGTGGCCCATCTCACCCAGCATCCTGTTCTCACAGTGGCCAACGAGAGGCCCCTAAAAGGAAGCCCACAAGCAGGACCTGAGCACAAGGGGACCCTCCCCACCCTCCTGCTATTCAGAAGCATGACTGCCTCTGACTGTGGAGGCAGAGCCACCATGGCTAGCAGCCACTGGAACGGAAGGGAGTAAGAGTTTCTGCACAGGACTGACTCACCATGCTGGCAGTGGTTCTTCCAGATCCGTTTGCAGTAGAGGATGGTGACGGTCACCAGTGCCAACCCAGTGATGATAAACGTGGTGAGGGTCAGCACCACAAAGAGCAGGTCCTGAGTAGCAGGTATGGGATACTTCACCGGCACTACGCTCTCTTCGGAGTCACCTGCAGACGCATCAGTGAGGAATGAACAGCCACAGATGCTTCAGTTTGCTCATTAGTAAGGTCACAGATCCCAGTTGCCCTTCAGTAAGCATACTGGCTGGGCAGGAAATGCAAAAAGGGGGGGGGCTGCATCTTTCCAGACTGCAAAACTGAAATTCGTTGCAGCCCTCCATCTCAGAAGGTTTGCAGAAACAGTGGCGTAGCGTGGGTTGTCAGCACCCGGGGCAAGGCAAGTAATTTGCGCCCCCTAACCCGTGGATTTGCGCCCCCTAACCCTAACCCCCAGATGTTGCGCCCGGTGCGGCCGGCCCCCCCTGCACCCCCCCATGCTACGCCACTGTGCAGAAAACAAAACATTGAAGGAATTGGCAGGGCCACCCAGCAGGAGATGAGCTTCTTTACTTCAGGGTGCATTAATCTGCAGGCATGAGGAGGCGGCGGCAAAAAACCCTTTCAGTGAGGACATGTGTTGCTTCTATGGGTCAACAGCTGCTAAAAGCTCCAAGCTCCATCTATGGAACTCCCTGCACTGAAGGGGACAAGGGAGAGTTAGGGCCCAATAAAGTGCAACGTACTGTGTGGCGTAGTGGTTAGAGTGTCAGACTAGGACCTGGAAAAAGACCAGGTTTCATATCCCACACTTGGCCATGAAACTCACTGCGTGAGACGTTGGGGGTCAGTCACTGCTTCTCAGACTAAACTACCTCACAGGGCTGTGGTGGGGATTTCATAAGAGAACTGTCTATACGCCACCTTGAGCTCTTTGGAGAAAAAGATGGGATATAGAAATACAACAAGTAACCTGAAAATAGATAGGGCTTCTAAAGCAACGCTGTTATAATTTTACACAAGTAGAAACTGTGGTCTTGGATACAGCAAAAATAGCTTGCGAGAGGGTAATGGTCTGAGTCGGGTTTCCAGGGGCATGATTTATAGTCTCAGTGAAACTTCAGTGATTTCTTCACTTGACCAGCAGAATAAGTTATGCAAAATGTGAAATTTGAAATACGTGCATAAATTGATACAGATTGTAGAATCTTGCATTCCCTGCCCCCACCCCCTTAGTATGGAACTTCTTTCTTTTAAAGCATTTTTTCCCTCGCTGCTGCAGTTGAAACAGTTCTAGAATGAAGTGGCATGATGAAATTGCAATCTGAATTGGGGGAAACAGATGGGCAAAAGACCTAGCAGGTACTTACAGTCTAGCTCAGAGGAGGGGGTCCGCCTTGTGCAAGGAATGCATTCCTGAGCCCTCTCCCCTCCAATTTGAATTTTCCTGTAGAAACTGTCAAGAGGAAGAAAAATGGAGCAGACAAGTTATGAGAGCCATATGTACCAAAAGAACCTGAGTGACAGAGGATGCTCTGTGCAGTGGTCATTAGCTCAAAGCCCCCATTGCTGCTGTTTAAGTATTTTTCCAACACTGGCTCTCTGTGTCCCTCAACACTGCAGTGCTAAGGACCAATCCATGCACTCAAATTGTTCCCAATGCACAATTACTACATCCAATGCTGGGTGAATCAATTGGACGAATGCTTCACCATGCACCCAGTTCATGTTCAGTTGCACCAAAACACAAACCAGTGGACAGAGCTACTCTGATGAGAATTTTTTATTTATTTCATAAAGTTTATACACTGCTTGACTGGAAAAACAACCACCTCAAAGCAGTTCACAAAGAGAACAATATAATTATCTTCAAAAAACCAACTCTTTCAAACATTTAGAAGATAAAAATAAGCAATTAACAAAAAACAAAAAAAACCCCCACCAACGGTTTAAAACAGACATCAACTTTTTAAGCATCTGGACATTTTGCCTAAACAAAAATGTTTTCAGCAGCTGCTGAAAAGAGTACAGTGAAGGTGTCCCTCTGATGTCAACAGGCAAGGAGTTCCAGTGTTGGTGCTGCTGCACTAAAGATTGAATTCTTACAAATGTGAAATGGGTATTATGTGGCACTTGTAAGAGTGCCAGTTCCACAGGTCCTGTGTTGCTCTTGGAGTTCACCTTGTACTTACCCGGGGTAACACTCTCCACAGGCTGCATTCAAGATGGAGGAGCAGTTGTGTCTCTGGATCCGGTTGAGGAGACTGCATGAGACGCAGGGCTTGCAGCCAAGGTGGCTCAAGTTGTTCTTGAACCTCCTGGGCGGGCATGGAACACAATGGCCACTTCCCCCTTCACCATAACCACACTCCTGTCGAAACACAGGAACAAAGCCATTGACTGTAGCTGCAGCCTGAGACCGTGTCCCCCCCACCAAAAAAGAGCCAGATGAAATGCCACAGGCAGAAGGTTTGGCATCCTTTTCTAAGTTGTTTTTTTCACCTTCTTAACTATCCGTTTCTAAAATACATATAACAAGCAATCCCCATGTACCTACTGCTACCCAATAAAAATTCAGTAATTATACAATGTAAATGACACGGTTAAACACAGTTTGTAAATAGATCCGAATTCATTGCATCCGTTAGGGGTCTTCTACCTGAACCGGTATGGCATACTGGTTAGAGTGCTAGACTAGGACCTGGGACACCAGGGATCAAATGCTACCTCAGCCTGGAAGCTCACGGAATGGCCTTGGGAGCTAGTCACTGCCTCCCAGACTATGCCACCTCAAAACATTGTTATGGGGATTAAATGGGGAGAAGTAGTACGTAAACTGCCTTGGGCTCCTTGGAGGAAAGGTGGGATACAAATGTAAACAAATAAATAAAAATAGTAATAGTAACAACAACAACAACAACAACAACAACGCTTCCATTTAACAGATTACACCAGTAATAGAAAGTAGAAACTTTGTTCTTCCTGCTGAATGCAGCTCTAATAATCCAGACCTGCATTTCCTCTAAGGACATGATTTAATTTCTACCCATTTGCAAAGCTAAGGTGAGGGTGAAGGAATGGGTTTCTGTGTAGCAAGTTTAAAACTGACTCAACCCCCCCCTTTTGTTCTTTCAAAAGACAGCATTTTAAAATGCGTAAAACTTGAGCTGTTGAGCAAAAGCAAAAGAAGGACACAATTGCATAAACAAGCTCTCTCCTTTATCAGTTACAGCAAGGGATGACCCTGACTCTTTAGGGGAACCAAGAAAACACGTCAATACTTTATCTTATGTGCTCACCACAAAATATGTAGGGACCGATGTCCGGGAAAAGAAACCCATTCCTTCAAGGGAATGCCTCTGTATAAGCCAGTGTGATTTATAGATCTGTGGACTCCACTTATGTGGGTTCCCAGCAGCTGTTCCTATTCCAATCAAATAAGAGCTGTCTCCAATATCATAACTGGAGTGATCAATTGAAAAAAATCTTCTACACCAGGAATCTCTAACCGGCATCTCACAGCCAGTGGTGTAATGTGTGTGTGGTGGTGGGGGGCATGGTCCCAGACACAAAATTCTGAGAGGGTGCAACCAGGCACTCCCACAGGGATATCTGCCCCACCCTGGTGGGTGGCAGAGCAACTCAGGCCCATGGGGAGCTGGGCTCCATCTTTTGTGGGTAGGTGGTGCAGCACAGCCTCACTTGGCTCCAGTGGGATGGAGCACTCTGGCACCGACTTGCCCGTCCCAGGTGCTGGCAACCCACACTATGCTGCTGCCCAGAGCGGAGGGGGCCAAGCCCAGAAGGTATTATTGACAGCCCTGAACAGCTTCAGATTACCTTGGAAGGCTCCGTTCCAGGACCACATTTCAGACAAGGGCTGCATCTCCCCTGATCGTCCAGGTACTCATCCTGTTTGCATTTGAGTGGGTTGGCAGGCAACTGTGGTACCTGTCAGAAGGAAAAGAGCCTCTAAAGGTCTGCATTAACTTGCATCTGTCCTTAGCTTAAGGTTGTGATCTTTCCCAGGGACCTGGATGATTGTATTGCAAACGGAGTAAACAAAAACCAGCACAACAATCCTTTTTTCTTAGGGCTTAACTTCCTAAACTCCCAAAGTGCCTCTGCTTGAACCTGTTGCACACAGAAACTTCCAAATCACTGCAAGAGACACCTCTTGGTGCATAATGATGGAAACCCCACAACCATGGTACTGCTGAATATCAGTTATTTGGAGACCTGCAAAAGGGGCACTTTATACACGTCCTGCCTTCAAGAACACCCAGCTCATTAAGTGCATAAGAAGACCCCTGCTGGATCAGGCCATGACTCATCTAGTCCAGCATCTGGTCCTCAGTGGCCAACCAGATGCCCAAATGGGAAGCCCACAAGCAGGAAACAAGCATGAGCCCTTTCTCCTCCTGTGGTTTCCATCAACTGGCATTCAGAAGCATTGCTGCCTCCAGCTATGGTGGCAGAGCAGAGCCATCATGGCTATTAACCAACAATAGTCTTCTCCCTCCAGAAGTTTGACTAATCCTCTTTTAAAACCATCCAAGTTTGTGGCCATCACTGGCTCCTAGGGGACTGAGTTCCATAGTTTCACTATGCGCTGAATGAAAAGAGACTTCCGTTTATCTGTCCTGAATCTTCCAACATTCAGTTGCATTGGATGCTCACAACTTCTAGCGTTATGAGAGAGGGAGAACTTTTCTCCATGCCATGTACCATTTTATAAACTTCAATCATGTTCCCTCGTACAGTCATACCTCGGGTTAAAATAGCTTCAGGTTAAGCATTTTCGGGTTGCGCTCTGCGGCAACCCAGAAGTAACGGAGCGTGTTACTTCCGGGTTTCGCCGCTCGCACATGCGCAGATGCTCAAAATGACATCACACGCATGCGTGGAAGCGGTGAATTGCGACCCGCAGATGCATGGAAGCCGGTTGCATTTGCTTCAGGATGTGAACAGGGCTCCAGAACGGATCCTGTTCGCATCCAGAGGTACCACTGTACTTGCCTTTTCTCCAAACTGAAAGGTCCCCTACACACCAACCTTTCCTCCCAGGGGAGTCGCTCCACCCCCTTGATAATTTTGGTTGCCCTTTTTTTGAACCATCTCTACCACATCCTTTTTAGGTGAGGCAATTGGCACTGTACGGAGCATTTCAAATGTGATCCCACAGTATATTTGTATAAGATTTGTAATACTGGAAGTTTTCTTTTTTCATGGCCTTTTGTAATGATGTTTCCCTTTTCCATGGCTGCCACACCCTGGGTTGACACTGCCGCTGAGCCTAACCTACATTGCAGGGCTGTTGTAAGGATATGAAATTTATATACTGCTCTCCATTAGAGGATCACAGAGTGGTTTTGTTATGTTGTGGGCGAACATGTCAGACGACACAGCGATTCTTTAAACAGCTCTTCTTTATTCAGATGCCAGAACAGAACTAGGCTGAGGAGCTCAGTCAGCATGCTTATATAGAGCTCCAGAACAATGCAACTGTTTCCATTTTCTAATACTATCCAATCACTGAACGTCACTTTTCGATCCTTCATTTGCATACAAAACTATCCAATCACTGACGTCACTTTTCGATCCTTCATTTGCATAACTATCAACAGTATCCCCTTGCTGGCCCCGGGTGAGAACTTCAGTACATAACAGGTTTAATGTTTAAAAACACAAAAATACATGGCATGATAACAAACCAAAGGCTTGGGATAAGAGGAATAAATGAGGGAACAGGGAGTATCATGTACTCCTCCTTGAGCTCCTTAGGAGGAAAACATGGGATATAAAAGTACTCATCCCCATCCTCCTCCTAGTACAGTTTTAATACATTTGCGGTGCAATCCAATGCATCTCCATTCAGAAGTGAGTTCCACTGTGCTTAAATGGGACTTATTCCCAGGGTTGTTTGGTGGGGGGGAGATTATAGCACCACAACCTTATTTTGGCTTTTCAGGAGCTTATCACCTCTGAAACGATGTTCTAGCCCACTGATAGCTTTAGCTCTTATGAATTTCTCTAATCATTAGAGGCTGTGCTCTGTAACTCCCATAATGAAGATTTCAATATAATCCCCCCAACACTTGCCCTCCCCTCAGCTTGACAGCGCAAGAGAGTTTTATGCAACGGAGCAGATAACAATGGAGAAGATTCTTACATTGGCAACAAACGCCACCATAAGCATCAGCCACACTTCCTTCTTCATCTCTAACGCAGCAGTTCCTCAGTCAGAAATGTAGCTGGCCAGGCACCCTTGTGAACTTCGTTCCTTAGGATCTAAACTATGAAAGAACAAAAAGGGGGGAAAGTGGGGGAGAGAATTAAGAATTAAGGTTTTTCCCAGACAGGGTGATCCCCCCCAAAAAAGTCTCTTGCACCCTGAGATACAAAGCAACTTTGTTGTGACAAACAACTTTCAGCATCACAAATAGCTGTGCCATTCTTAATCCCTGCTCAAATTTTAGTTAGCAAGTCTCAACAAATGAAACTGATCTGTAGAAAATGTAACTTGAAAAAAGAGCCATTGCACATACTTTTGTAAACCAAGAAATCTTTAATAAAAATAGAGTTTTTAAAAAATTTGTTAGCAAGCCAGGAAGGAGCAAAGCATGCATTGGTTGCATTTTTTAAATTTAGGTAAAGATCACAGTTTAAATAAAATCACATCTATTACTGCAGATAAGGAGAAACTGTTTAGTTCCCATTCACCACCAAGCTATCTATCAATCTACAGTGCATGATATAGTATTACAATCATGGCCTTGAGGATTTATCTCATATTTTTCCTGTGACATGTTGTTACGAATTTATTATCCAGCCTTCACCCTAGGTCCCAGGGTAGGTCACAGCAGGAAAATGCAGTATTCATTTGGAATATTGGTACTCAAAGTGTTTGGCAGACAGCCTAATTTGGAGGGGTGGGGATTCCATAAACTTTAAGTTTCCAAAGGGTCTAGTAAAAAAACCTTGATGCTACATCATGCTTTTTCTGGTATAATCTCCCTGTTTTCCTTTTCTAACAATTTTAAAACGTCAATAAAAGTTACGTTTAAAAAAATATTTAAAACAGTTTTTAAAAACTTGCAATCACAAAAAAAAACACAGTTCTTGGCTCTGCTTCCGTGGCTTCCAAATTCGTGGTGAGCGCTTTTGTTGTCAACTAAACCCCACCATCTGTCATTCCAGGATCCGACCTGTCGGGTTCAAAGAGCCAGAAAGCCAATAAATTCCCTGGAATGAAAGATTAAGACCCTCTCCTCCACCGACTCAACGCTGCAAGCCCGGGCTTGCCCAGCAGCCCAGCCTCTAGGAGTCCACGCGGACCCGCTTCATCTCCCCTTCGCGTGGCTGCCCTCCAAGCCTGCAGCGCAGGGCTCGATTCCCGAAGAAGCCTGGCCGGGCTCCCAGCTTTAGGCGGCGGGGGCGGGATAGATTTCTTAAAAAGTGAGGGAGGTCGAGAAGGCTCCTTTCTCCGTCCCTTTTTTCTTTCCTGCATTGCACGGGGTTGTCTATTTGGTCTTTGGGTCCCTTCGAACTGTTCATTTCTATGATTCTATGAAAGCAGTTCCTGCCTGCCCGCAACTCCGCTCCCTCCCCATACTTCTTCGGCTTGTTTTCCCCGTCTAGAAACCGGGAAAGCCAAAAACTCCCGTCTCTCCTTCCCTCGCGAAGACAGGCAGGCAGGCTGTGGCGATATGCCTAGACGCGCCCGACGGGGTCTCAGCCAGAGCACCGTGTACACGTTCTGTAAACCCGCGGGCGCCCTCCGTACCCGATTACCTGGGGACACGCAGGACCAGCGAGTCAGCCCTCGGAGTCAAACCGAACCAACCCCAAGGCAGAGACTGAAGGTGGTGCGGCGCAGTTCCCCAGGCGCACACCTGTCAGACTGAACGTTTACCTGAACAGCAGCGAAGGATATATCTGTGGACTGCTGCATCCCGCGGCGGAGACAAATAGAGAGACTGCTCTCCCATTGGCTGACGGCTGAGCCGCTATACAGACTGCGCACCCGAGGGGTGGGGCTTACCGACCAATCAATGGAAGGCGAAGAGGCGAGATAAGAGAAGCCGCTCTCCCATTGGCTGTTGCCCAAGCCGCTATGCTGATTGAGTTTCCCGAGGGGCGTGGTTTACCGTGCACTCAATGGAAGCATAAGCTAGCTTGGTTCTTTATTACTTTATTATTATTATTACATTTTTATTGAATACAAAAAAAGAATATCAAATAAGAAAAGAAATAAAGAAACAAATTTCATACATATACACATGAGCAGAATTATTTATACATCTATAAAAGAAGAAGAAAAAAAGAAGAAAAGAAGAAAGAGAAGTTAAAAATAGAAATTTAGAAAATTGAAAAATGTTCACCATAAACAACAATTTCAGATCTATAATGGTAAAGGTAAAGGGACCCCTGACCATTAGGTCCAGTCACGGACAACTCTGGGGTTGCGGTGCTCATCTCGCTTTATTGGCCGAGGGAGCTGGCGTACAGCTTCTGGGTCATGTGGCCAGCATGACTAAGCTGCTTCTGGCAAACCAGAGCAGCGCACGGAAACGCCATTTACCATCCTGCCGGAGCGGTACCTATTTATCTACTTGCACTTTGACGTGCTTTCAAACTGCTAGGTTGGCAGGAGCAGGGACCCAACAACGGGAGCTCACCCCGTCGCGGGGATTCAAACCGCCAACCTTCTGATCGGCAAGCCCTAGGCTCTGTAGTTTAACCCATAGCGCCACCCGTGTCCCTTTTTTAAACTGTATTTACCAGTAATCTCTCTTTTATTCTTTTCGTAAACAATTTCGCTTTTTTACAGTCAAGTGGCCTATAGAAATCTGCACATCAAAACAGCCAGAATAATAATTAAAAAAAAGGGCAGCCCCTTATTTTCCCTTCTATAGTTTTTTGCTCAAGAGCAGAGAAAGTTGGGTGACTAACCGGCTGCTCCCTGCTTTCAACTGTAAGGTTTTGGAAGGATGAAAAAGATTCAGGAGAGAGCCAAGCCTCTGTTTCTGAGCAGGCAGGACATTCAGGAGTTGTGGGGTTCAGCTCCAGCCCACTGCTGCTCCCTGCCTCAGCAGCCCCTTCCCCATGGTGATTCTCTTCTCTTATGGTGGCCAGGATGTCAGCCTGGGGGGAGAGGTTCTGCAGGTCCAGCTCTGTACACTCCACGGGGGCATGAGGCCAGTGGTGTAGCCTCTCCGTGGCACATGAGGAGACAGGGGCCACTGGGGGGCCACTGGGGGCTGCACCACAGTCATTACCTGCTAGCTATTGATATATGCAATGGACAGGCATGGCTTCTACACAGGAAGATTCCTCTAGCAATACACTTTTATGAGTGACACATAATACTCAATATGCACTTGTAAAAAACTGATAGTTTCACACAGCAGCACCTACAACTTTTGAACTCCCTGCCTATTGTCATCAGGCAGACACCTCCACTGTCCACTTTCCATTTCTGTTTAGGCAAACCTGCCCAGAATGTTGACAGAATGTAGAATGTTGACAAGTGTTATGAACCAATTTTTAGCTTATCATTTATTTTAATTATTTTCTGAATGTTTTAAATAGTTGCTTTTAACTATTTTTACTGATAATTTCGTTGTTTTATTCTTTTTGTAATCTGCTTTGAAGGTTTTTTTGGTGTGTTTTTTTGCAATGGAGTGGTGTATGAATTTTACAAAATAAATCCCTAGCAGAAAATAACCAAGCTAGGGAAGCAGACAGTGTGTCAAGACAGTGAATCTCTATGCTACCAGTATACTAGTACCTTAGAGCAGCAAAGGCAGTTTTGCTAATGCTGTGGATAGGTGGGTGAGCAAATAAGTTGAAAAAGAACAGAAAAGCTTCATTTGGTTCCCCCCACCCTTCCCCAGGGCTGGACATCCTGGCACATGTCAGGGATCCATGACACAACTGCCCCTGAGAAGAGGGTGACTTGACCTTTCAAAGTCCAGGTGCTGATGCAACTGTCTTTCTGTATCCTTGGGATGTCCCTGGCGTTGCATCAGCTGAATGACATTTTGCATCCCGTTTTCTGACAAATGCCAGAATTTTGTTTTAACGGTAAAATTGTCCCAGGACAAAATTTGAAAGGACAAAGGAGAAAACATAGAGGCAAGATAGTTGTGAGCAAAACTGGAAGTCATTTATTGATGACTGTGGAGTTCCATTAGTTCCACAAAGAAGAGGAGGGTGAGGGGGTTGAATTACTTTAATAAAAAATAAGAATATTTACAATAGAAGAACCTTAACCTATAAATCTTAAGCAGAAAACTTGTTCCTCTAGCAGTGCCCCCCGCCCCCCGTGTGTGTGTAATAAAGAGAGCGCTCAAACCAACTTTGGAAAGCAACCAAGGAATACTTAGAAGTTGGGGGTTGAGCAATCCCTAACTGGAGCATGATCTGATTCAGTTATTTTCCAGATTATGGACTCCATAATTAAGATGCTGTGTGACTTGCATATAATCGATACAACAATATGCATTAATGCATCTCAGTAAAACAAGTAAACACAGACACTTTGCTTGCATGATCTCCAGAGGTCAATTAAGCCTCACTAGCTTGGCCAGCAGGAGTTGCAGGAACATTGTTTAGTGGCACCTTCCCCGCCATTTCCACTCCACTTTGGCACCTGGCACTTCATATTACAGCCCATAATAACCTCCCCCTTCCTGAGTACGTCTACTTTTTCTAGTTTGTTTTTCAGAAACCCTTGTTGTTGGCTGTTAGGGAGGAGATGGAACATAGTAAGGAGAGATTACAGTTTGTCACTAAGGACCAGCACCTCAAATAGATAGCCTTGGGCCAAAATAACCACCTCCTATCTAAATTTTGGGGATTCTGACCTCTCCGCTGCACCCCAAACCCTGGATGTTTCAGTGTCCTATCTACTGATTTGTTTATTTATTGCAATGCACTTTCAGAAGCAAAAGGGGAGCTGGCTTTCATCACCTGAGGGCTGCCTTGACCCTTGTTTGTTTAGGAACTGTTTGTGAGTTCATTTAGACCTAGGGAGGTTTACTGTAAGGCATCAGCTGCTGTAAACAGAAGTGTGATTCCAACAGTTTTGTTAATGATTGACGGCACTTTTCCTTCCACTTCGTACCTGCAAAATTCGAGCAGATGACTGTAAAGAAGACCATCAACACAACTTTGTCCCTTGCAGAGGATCAGGAATGATACCCCTAACAATGAGTACCTAACAATGAGTACCCCTGTTGGACACCAGGGGGTGGGGCACCTATTCTGTTCCAGAAAAGTGCAGAGCAATGGTGAAGGAACAACAGGAATGAGAAGAGGTTGCTAGGATGAGACATTCTGCAAAAGAAATCACTGGTTTCTTGCCACCTTAACTGTGCTTTCTCACACTTGTAAATTAGTCTCTCGTAATTGGAGAACTATGGCAGCCTCATGGGTAGCTAGCCTTATAAGATGTCAGTCATGATGCAGCATTGGCTGAAAGGGATAGGCCACAAATTGGGAAACTTTCAGGTTGGTGTATCTTTTATGTCTTCTTCCCCTTTGGAGTGAGATGGTCAGATCTTGGGAACTGCTGCTGCAGCTGCTACTACCCCCCCAAGACTTTTTTGAGGTTTTTCTCCCTGAGGATGTTAATTTGCAACATCCCTTACCTCGTCCTTCCACCCAACATTAATGGAAGTCTCTTTTAATCTGTTCATGTGCCCGTTGGGTCCAAAAATCTGGATAACATTCAGTTCCTGTCCACATCTTAGTTGTTGTCCAAGCATATGATAGATCACCAAAGCATTTCTAAGAGCTCTCAGGATAGCACATGTTAAAACTGGGCACAATAATTTTGCAAATGTCTAAAAGATCATCTTCCTCCTCTTTTCCCATATACAAAAGTCCTTCCCTGGGGCTGGAGGTTCCCTCAGCTTTTCTCTCCCTCACCTCCTCAGCACATTGCTGCTCTTCCATTACTGGTAGTGACTCTTCTGGGCTTCCTGCGGTCCTCCTCTGTGTGATAAGCTTTGGATCTTCCTGTGGTGAAGACACAGATTGCCCAGGTAGCGCAGGCTTCACTAGCTTCATTGCAAGTGGGTAGACATTGCAGAGCCACCAAGGGTTTTCAGCTGGGGTGGCTAGCTGGATCGGGGGATCAGGTCCTTCTGCGGGGACACTGGACTGCACTACCCACTCCCTAGCTTGGCAAACCCCAGGAGATGATGGTGCTCCTTCAGAGGAAGTGGATGTCCCCAGCCGATTCCACACAGAGGTTGGAGGTTTTGCAGGTGACAAATCTGCCTGCTGCCTTGTCAGTGGGGCAGGTGCTGGAGGTGACTTTGACAGGGGGGAGGGTGCTGGTGGTGACTCTGGCAATGGAGTGGCTGCCAGCTTTGGCAGGGGCTTTGGCAAGGCGGTGGACACTAGGCTTAGCGGAGCCAGAGGGGCCAGCCGGAGCTTATGTGATGTCTTCAGCATAGGTCTTTCCAATGTGGCCTCTGTCTTTGCAAAACTGCTGTTGGCAGAATTTAGTGGAGAGATGTTTTTAGCAGGCATGGAGATTATGTTCTTCTTCTTGCCCAGGGGATGGAAGACTTGCACAGACTTTTTAGCAGGCATGGAGATTATGTGCTTCTTCTTGCCCAGGGGATGGAAGACTTGCACAGACTTTATCATCTGCAAAGCCAGGTTGGTTCTGGGGACCGCCTTTGAGGGCACCTCATTCTTTTCTCCCTTTACCCCAGCCAGGTTCCCTTTAGCTTGGGCCTTCTCTCTACTCTTAGTTTCTCCAAGATTTCCCCCCGGCTTGGAATCATTGTTTGCTGTCTTGGATTTGCTGCTGTTCAGCATGTCCTCACCCATTCTTAAAGCTTCCTGCTGGAGCCCAATGGTTTTTGCCTTCCCCTTTCTCAGAAAGTTTTGGCAAGGCATCTTTCTCTCCTCCTTGCATTTCTCTTCCTGGCTTTTCTGGCTGGGATGGCTTCCTCGAGAGCACTTGGCGCTCAGCCCTTCTTGAAGACGCTGGGAAGAGCCGCACGCCTCCAACTCTAGACTTGTTCTGGGGAAATTTCCCACCAGTTTGTCTTCAGTCAAAATGGCCTTCCTCTTCCCCTTTATGTTAGAAAATGTAGAGTCTGGCGCCTTTGACACCACAGACTTTGGATCGGTGTTCCGGCTCTTTCCAAATCCCTCTTTCCTCAGTTCTGGCTCTGCAGAGATCCTGGGGAAATGACGTGAGGGCTGGCCTGCCAATGTATCCACACACATTCTCTTGGCTCCTGTAACACTAGGAACCTTGCTATCATCTTTGATTTGCCCCTCACTCTGCTGTTGGTTTTTACTGGCGGTGTCACATTTAGGTCTTGCCTCCTGCCTTACAGTTGCTGTGGCTAACACCTGGTCGCTTCCTGGGGCCTCCCTGGATGTTTCCTCACTTGCCTCATTGGAACCCAGAGGTGTGGAAAGACATTCTGGAAAGAGCGGCTCAAAGGATGCAACCAGGTTATTGATCTCAGGGCAGTCACAGAAGAGATCGTCCGGCAGATGGAACAAACCCCCAAGGTGGCTTCCTTCAGCTGCCAACTGAGGGTGATGTGATTGGTCCCCCTCATGTGTCTGAGTAGCTACCACTGAAAGAAAGACAAAAGGAAGATACATTAGAAGATATAAATAGCCATCTCCTCTTCTATGACTTTGTCTAATCCTCTTTTTCCATTTTTAAAAAAATATTTATTATGCAATACAGTCACAGCAAAGAAAATAACATAGCACCAAGCCCATGGTGTCATCTTACATGGTCTTAATAAATAAACAAATAAACAAATATTTTTTATTTATACCCCGCCCATCTGGCTGGGTTTCCCCAGTCACTCTGGGCAGCTTCCAGCAAATAATAAAATACAATAAGTCACCAATACAAACTACATAACCAAACTGAACAATTTCCACATAAAAATAAAGATACAAAAATTAATACAGTGGTAGGTACCTCAGGTTACATACGCTTCAGGTTACATACGCTTCAGGTTACAGACTCCGCTAACCCAGAAATAGTACCTCGGGTTAAGAACTTTGCTTCAGGATGAGAACAGAAATTGTGCTCTGGCGGCGCGGCAGCAGCGGGAGGCCCCATTAGCTAAAGTGGTGCTTCAGGTTAAGAACAGTTTCAGGTTAAGAACGGACCTCTGGAATGAATTAAGTACTTAACCTGAGGTACCACTGTATAAGTAATATCAGTTAATATCAGTAACAACAGCAAAAACTCCCAACAAAACTTCCCTCAAAATACCCCAGTCCTTGCTGGGCAGCAGCCACGGCAGCACGGCAGTAGTCCTTATGAGGCCTGTCAGGTGCTGCCCTGGGCCAGTTGGAGAGTGGCAGGACCGGGGCCCTCAGGTACTCAGCATTGGCAGTCCATATAGGTTCTCCACAGACAGGTTTGTGAGGCTGCTGAAAGAGCTTTCCCCTTATGTATGAAAAAAGGGAGACCAGGTTTCATCAAAGGTATTTTCCTTTATAACCCCATATAATCCTCTTTTAGAGCCATCCAAGTTGGTGGCCATCACTGCCTCCTGTGGGAGCAAGTTCTACAGTTTTAACAATGCACTGCATGAATAAACCCTTTCTTTTATCTGTACTGAATCTTCCCACATTCATCGGATGTCCACGAGTGTTATGAAAGAGTGAGGAAAACTTCTCTGTGTTCACTTTCCCCATGCCGTGCATCATTTCAGAAACTTTGATCATGTCACTTTTTCTTTATCTTTTCTCTAAACGAAAAAGTCCCAAATGCAGAAACTTTGCCTCATAGGGGAGTCACTCCACCCCCTCAATCATTTCCAAACCTTTTCCAACTCTTTTCTGAGCTGAGGTGACCAGAGCAATTGCACAGTATTCCAAATGGGGTCACACACAACAGATTTGTATAGTGGCATTATGTGCCCTGTACTTACTAAGTTTTGGAAGAAAGTGCTGGACTGTATAACTATGTGTGCAGAAAAAGTTAAAACTTTCAGCGGATAATATTCTTTTGAACCATATTGTACAGAAATGAACAACAGGACAAAGGAAATGGATTCTATGCACCCTGGTGGTGGCCAACAGACTGATATTGATTAATTTGTGGTCAGGGGCTACATATCTTCCAGACCCTTGATCATCTTGGTTGCCTTCCTCTGCACACCTTCCAGCTTGTCAATATCCTTCTTAAATTGTGGCACCCAGAATTGCACACAATTTAGGAGGGTTCTCACCAAAGCAGAATAGAGTGGTAATATGACTTCCCTTGATCTGGACACTATATTTCTCTTGATGCAGCCTAGAATAGCCTTAGCATTTATTTATTTTTATTTTTTGCTATTGCATCACACTGTTGACTCATATTAAACTTGTGGCCTACTAAAGACCCCTAGATCCTTTTCACATGGGTAAGCTAGGTGTCCCCCATGTTGTATATTTGTGCATCTGGTTATCCCTGCCTAATTGTAGAACCTTACATTTGTCCCTCTTGGAATCATTCTGTTTGCTTCGGTCCAGTTTTCCAATCTGTTAACGTCATCTTGAATCCCAATTCTGCCTTCTGTGGCATTAGTTTGGTGATGACACCCAGTCTGGTGTCATCTACAAATTAGATGAGCATCCCCTCAATTCCTTCATCCAAGTCATTTATAAAGACCTCGAACGACAGTTTGTTGCTGCATCTTTTTTTTTTTAAGATTCCCAACAGCAGCTTCATAATCTTACCACTTTTACTTTCAACCACTCGTTACTGTATACAAATAATGGCTGATAACTTTGCTAGAATATAGGCTACTAAAAAGAATGGCAACCTCATCTATAGATGTAACAGCCACCCCAGTTTTAGATCCCTTCTACACAGGCTACTAGTAGAAAGATATATGGAAACCTTTAAGATTCTGTACGTCCTCTCTGGAAATAATGAATACATGTCTATTCTTCTAAAGAAGTAGCAAAACAGGTGATCTGGCCTTCAGAGCAGTTTTGCATCTCTCTCCCTCTCCCTCCCCCTCCCCCCCACACCCCATCATTCATATATACATCTATATCACTATAAACACTATGTTACACAAAGGGAGAAGTATATATGCACACAGACACTGCACTGGGTTTAAATGAATCCATTGCTTTTTGCAGTCTGATCGTATGCATGTTTACTCAGAAGCAAGCCCTACAGAAGCAAGTCTATAGTTGCAAGCACAGCCGAGTTCAGTGGCACTTTCTCCCAGGTAAGCATAATAGGGGTGCAGCATCCTTAATTTATAAGCTTATTTTTGCTACATGTGAAGAAGATTGGTTATAAAAAGAACTGCAGCAGCAAACTTCCTTTTTGCAGCGTTTGCAAAATGTATTCATCTCCCACCACCACCCTGCTGGAAAACTACCAATCCCACTTTGCTAAAGGGTCAGGCTAACCCTGCGCTATTCCCTATACTTTTCCCTGTTTACCTAAAAAAGTGGGGAGATGCCTCTCCGTTCCTTTGCTCATCATGGTGTCTGCTCATTATGGTTCGAGGCAGGAAATGAAAAAAGAGGTTGGGAAGAGCATCACATGCAAACTGGCAATTGTTTATGTGCCATTTCTCTCCCCTTGCAACTTTATCAAGAGAAAGGCGGGACTGAGAGAAATGGGAGGCAGATCAGACAAAAAAAGGGAGGCAGCTCAGCTGAAAATGAAACTATTTTCTCCAAGTAGCAGCAGAATGAATCCTGCAATCTCCTCCTTTATCTAGAGCAGAAGCATTTGTTCCTCATCCATTGCTTTGTGCAGCCTGATACTATGGATGTTTCTTCAGAAGTAAGCCTGCTGAATTCAAGAGGGTCTTACTTCCAAGCAAGAGTGGCTAAGTTAAAACCTGATCACTTAAGTCCAGTTCTACAGCTTGGCTTTGCTACACGTGAAGATAATTGGTTATACAGTGGTACCTCGGGTTAAGTACTTAATTTGTTCCGGAGGTCCATACTTAACTGAAACTGTTCTTAACCTGAAGCACCACTTTAGCTAATGGGGCCTCCTGCTGCTGCCGCGCCGCCGGAGCACGATTTCTGTTCTCAACCTGAAGCAAAGTTCTTAACCTGAAGCACTATTTCTGGGTTAGTGGAGTATGTAACCTGAAGCGTATGTAACCTGAAGCGTATGTAACCTGAGGTGCCACTGTAGTAAGAATTGCAGCAGCAAACTCCTTTTGGTAGCGTTTTTGCTGGTTCAAGATCAGCTTCATGGCTCAGCAAGGATTTGAACCCTGGTCTCTCCCAGGTCCTAGCCCACTCTTCTAACCACTACAATCACACCGGCTCAAGGTGCATTCCAAAGTGTAGGTAGTGCAACACTAAAAGATGAAGCTCCTACGAAGACAGAATGGCGATTATGTGGCACCCATAAGAATGTTAATTCCAAAGATTGAAGTGGCTGAGTGGGCACAGATGGTCCAAGTTGAGATGGGAGGCAAACTGGTCCCAAGAAACATACACTGAGGGCTCAGATCAAGTCAGCAACTGAAAGAGGGGCACCCATGGAAACTGTGGTTATATGAACTGGTATGCCACCATCTCCACAGTATAAGCCCCAAGATTCTACGCCGCCAGAGAATGTTATGATGCAAAAGAGGATGCAAAGCAATGGGCAGTTGGGCTATTGGATCATTGAGTGCCATAGTAGCTGGTAGTGGCCCCTGAGAGTGGTGGGAACCTGTAGCACACTCCTCTTCTTCTTTTTGCCTGTTCTACAAATGCACATTGGCTGTTGTACAAAATGAAATAAACCCACATGTTTGAAAGTACTTCTGACCTAGTGGGAACATCTATTGCCCACCAAAATCCATGGAATATGCCTTAGGGATGGCTAACCTCAGCACTGTTAGGTGTCCCTAGGACTTAGTAAAGGGACCCCTGACCATTAGGTCCAGTCGTGATCGCGTCAGGGGTTGCGGTGCTCATCTCGCTTTATTGGCCGAGGGAGACGGCGTACAGCTTCCAGATCATGTGGCCAGCATGACTAAGTCGCTTCTGGCGAACCAGAGCAGTGCACGGAAATGCCGTTTACCTTCCCGCCAGAGCTGTACCTGTTTATCTACTTGCATTTTTGATGTGCTTTCGAACTGCTAGGTGTGCAGGAGCAGGGACCGAGCAACAGGAGCTCACCCCATCATGGGGATTCAAACCGCCGACCTTCTGATCGGCAAGTCCTAGGCTCTGTGGTTTAACCCACAGTGCCACCCGCGTCTCTACCCTAGGATTTAGCTGTGACTAATTTGGGTAGATTGTGCCCTTCAGCTTTTGAACCAAAACCTCTTTTCTCTTGTCTATCCCAGTTTCCATGTATGCAGGTATAAGTTGCCCAAAGACTTCACCTGTTCCCTAGATGCAAACCCTCAATCTCACTGCTTTCTTCTCAGATTCTCTCTAGCCCCCTGGGACAATGGAGGGTCCCTTCTAAGCACCTAGATAACCCAATTTCCTACCTGCCATGATGACAAGAGGACGTTCCCTTTATACAGGGGTGAAACTGGATTGTGGGTCATTAGGCTTGTCTCACCAGTGCTTACCAAGGAAGCATCCGGTAAGGAGTAGACAACGGAATTATGATGATGCAAAAACAAGAAAAAAGTTTGTTGCCATCTCTATGGTAACCCTGCAGATGCTGAAGAAGGGGCCAGGAGAATCTTAGAATCAGAATTGGATGGTGGAAGATGATGTCATTGCAGAAGACTGAAGAGTGGGCCGGAGCTTAGGGTGAAGTGTGATCAGACTACCCTACGCACTAGGCCATTCTTCTTTGCAGGCTCCTTGGGAAGTCCTTTGTCTTCAGCCTGATTTAAGACGGCATTGGGGAATGGGACTGAGAATTTGTATGCACAGTTGTGTGAATTCTCCTTTGCGTTTTGTCTGAAGGGAAGACCAGCATGTGGCATATATTAAGTGCCAACTCCACAGGCGCTAGGTACAGTCAGATCCAGCTTTATGTAGCTGTGTAGTTATTCCAGGTTACCTTTTGGTTTCTGTGTTGCAAGGAGAAGATTCCCATTACAAGAATCCAGCTGTGCTGTGATTTGCAAGGTGCCGAGTTCAAATGTCCTAACACAGATTCACTAGATAGCCTCTGGAAAGGCCACTTTTTCAGCCTCTACTTTTTTCAGTCTGCTGCATGAGCTGGGGCAAGATTACAAGATAATCTTCACTCAAATGTGGGGAGCACCGTGGAGAGCACTCCTGGCTCATGAGGAGACCCTTTCCATTTTCCAAAGAGGACATCCTCTTTGGGATCAGGGGTGGGTCTCCTCAGTGTTGTTTTGTTGAGGCTGCTCAGCTGACACGCAGGGAAGCTTTCTTGAGCAGCCTCAACAAGCCTCTGCCTCATGGCCCCCTTTCTGTCAGTTTTTTTTTTCTTTACAGGATTTCACTCATGATTAATGTGAATTCCTGCCTAAAAGACAGTTAATTGAATCTTGGTGGACATGTAAAAAAGCTAAAAACTATTGAATAAAAATACCTACACTGATATGGAGGATTTTGAAGGGCAATTTTCCTGCTGCGACTTACGGTAGATAAACAATTAGAAAGAGACTATGGATCTTTATTTCAATAAACGATCACAGTGGTTAAGACTTTCATATGCACAAAGATGGAACGATTCATCATTACCTACAGTGGAGGAATGGTTGTTGAAATTACTGGACTTAGCTGAGATGGTGGAATTCATGTGTTTGCTCAAAGAAAAATAATTGTCTACATTTACTAGACTGGAAACTTCTTATAGACTTTGTGTAAAAAAAGAAAGTGAACTTACATGGGTTTGATAATTGAAGAAAATATTGGTTTATAGAAAGTGGAATTTGGGGTGTTATCTTGGAGTGGATGCTTCCAACAATTTTTTATATATAGCTGACAAACGAAGAATGAAAAGCTCTCTCATCTTTCTTTTTTGAGTTTTTATTTGGATTAGTTTTTTGTATTTGATTCAAAAATATATTGCATATTCTTTTGTGTATTCTTTTTGAAATTTCAGTAAGAAAATAAAAATTCTTAGCACACAGAACTTGCATGTTTATTTAAAACTTCCTTGACTCAAACCATTAAAGTAGGCTTTTTTCTTCTGCCTTCCCTTCCTTTCTTCTTGAAGGCAGAAAGCAGTTAAAGCATCAAATGTAAATTTCCACCAGCAGTTGCATATCTTTTTGTTATAAATCATAAGGCTCAGAAATAATTAAGGGAGACTTTTGTAGATCCCATGCCCATTAGGGCTCTTACACGGCTTTGGGTCCAAGGTGCTGATTCCTCAGCTCGCAAATCACTTAACCCCCATCAAAATTCCCAAGAGCTGATAGCTTTTCGGCCTCTTGAAACAGAAAATGGCTTTTTCAGAACCTCCCATTCACTCTTTTTTCCAGAGTAAATTCAATCGCCAAGACTTATGTCTGGCTGTCATCATTCACCGTGTAATGATCTCCACTGGCAGCCCACCAACAAAAGACATTCAATTCACCATGTTCCTCCTCCAACATGCCCCACAACTGAAATATCTTCATTCTGTCTGAAAAACACTTTGTACATGTTATGTACTGAGTTGACTAGGATCCAAAATGCAGCAGTCTGATTTGTCCTAGAACAATAGGATCCAAAATGCAGCAGTCTGATTGGTCCTAGAACAATGCAGCTGTATGATTGGTCCACAGGAGCCACCCAATCCAGCTCCAGGTGGAAGTGAATCCATAACCTGATTGGCCTACAGGAGAATCCCGGAATTAGCCAATCATGTGCAGCCCATTGTGTAAATAATGTATATAAAGCAGATATCGTGGGGGAACTTCCATTCCTCCTCACCACTATGAGCTGAATAAAGAGAATGAAATCCACTCTCGACTCTCGAGTATATTTCAGTACACCTCAGTCATGTTGCTTGTTCTAGGAATTATGGTCCTTAAAAGACAGAACCTTGCCCCTGATTTGGGAGTGTTGGTACAAAGATCTACATTTGAAAATGAAATCAGTTTTTGTTTTGTTTTTACTCGGCAGACTTTGGGACACAGAATAGATTCCAAACACCTCTTTCAGCATTTTTATTTATAAAAGTTTGAAATTAAAACAATTTACACTTTTGCTCCCCAACTGAAGCGTGCGCACACACACACGCCAGCAGTGAGCTATACACAAGACTGGAGTTACAATTAAGATGGGTAGAGATTTCTTTTCCTGCCTCCAGCAAATGACAAGACAGCAAGCAGAGGAAAACATGGATCATATATTTAGTGTTTTTGGATAACATTTCACAGGTTTATTAAGGCAAATGACAAAAAATAAAATAAAAACTGCTCTAAATGGAGATAGGATGTGGGAACTGCTTGCCCCACATCCCTACTTCTCAACCAAGGGGAAAGGTGAAGAAGAAGAAGAAGAAGAAGAAGAAGAAGAAGAAGAAGAAGAAAAAGAAACCAGTCTCCCACAGGCTGTGTTCTGAATGCTGAAGTCCTGACATATTAAAAGGTATTTAACACCACTTGGATCACTTGGGACATAAGACTGGGCAGCTTTCCCCTGTCAATTTCTGACTTGTTAGCCACCACACACACACACACAGAGAGAGAGAGAGAGAGAGAGAGAGAAAGAAAGAAAGAAAGAAAGAAAGAAAGAAAGGGAAAAGCATACTGATATTATTTGCTTATTTTTTCTGTCCCTTGTCCACAAGATTGGTAACAGTTAACTTGAGTTCTGCTGGAAGGTCAATAGTGGGTTTTCTTTTGCAGTTAGAAAAAGTATAATCTGCCCAATAAATTGCAAGTAACACATGGTACTCCCAACACAATGTAACCTCTAGACAGCATAATTCAAGCATTCTTTTCAGAAGTCACTTCAAAATATATTTGCATTTCAAGAGAGATAATTCCCTGTACGGAAGGAACCACTAGGCTTGCATCACACCTCCACAAAGAATTAGGGGCGGCAGGGGCAAATCTATCATGGACGTGCTAAGACCAAACAAACAAGCCTTTGCTAAACAAACATCCTCCAGATGTTGCTGGACTACAATATCCATCAGACCCGGTGAGCATGCCTGTGCTGGTAGGGGATGATGGGAGGTGTAGTCCTATAGTCTCTGGAGGCAACAAGGTGTGTCATGGTTGGCATAAACTATTGCATCACTTTGCTTAACTTCAATGGAACACTCTCCTAGCATTCTCCCATCAACAGATAACAAGCATTTGAAAATGTCCTGATGTACAGAAGACAAAGCGCCAAGTGTTCTGATAAGCTGATTAAGGATGGGTATCTTTTGCTATCTGCCTTTATCAACAGCTTTGATGGATCGAGACAGGATTTCTACTTTCTTATGCATCAGCAGCATTCTTCAAAAAGGGCAACAATGCCCTTTCGCGGGTATTTACAAGAGGAGGAGTAAGCAGACAGACATCAGTTGCATTCTCAGAGGAATCAGAAACACAAAAGGGACCTTCAGCACACTCCTGGAGACCAGTCCTGCCTTTGTCCAACACACAGCATAAATACAGGTAGATAAATTAGAGGGCAACGTTGGGGAAAGCCAGCAACTGAGAGGCTTAACAGAGACAGAAGCCACCTTCATTCAGCTTTGGGGTCTCTCCACTGATTTTGTGTCACTATGGGGCAAAGGTGAGGATCATCCAGCTGATGACGAAATAGAAAAGGAAGATGGGGTAGACTGCCAGGGCTTTGCGATTTGGGGGCTGGCTGTCTGCCAGGAAAGCAGTGGATGCTGAAAAGAGAAGGAATATTTAGAATATACACTAACAGTTGAAAAAGCAGAAAATTGCGGTTGTATCCAAAGCAGCCCCAGCAACACCTACATTTATTCTGTGTCCCACATGCACCCCAAAATCTTCCCAGGAGGACACCTCCCAACCCTCCAGAGCTTATGTGAAGGTGTGCAATGGGGAGCAGAGGGAACAGGAAAGTTCCGTTCCACTGTCACATGTCCCTTGCATTAATGGAACGGGAACACTGGACACCAACCTAAAATTTTAGATTGCATCTTAAAAACATAAGAGTCTGCTGGATCAGGCCAGGGTCTCATCTAGTTCAGCATCCTGTTTGCAGAGTGGCCATCCAGATGCCTGTGGAGACCCTCAAGCAGTATCTGAGTACAAGAGCAACTCTCCCCCTCCTGTGGTTTCCAGCAACTGGTGTTCAGAAGCGTTGCTGCCTCTGACTGTGGAGGTAAAGCATAGCCATCATGGCTAGTAACCATGACTAGACAATAGCCTTCTCCTCATCCATGAATTTGTCGAATCCTCTTATAAAGGTATCTAGGTTGGTGGCCATCACTGCCTTTTGTGGGAGTGAGTTCCATAGTTTAACTCTGAACTCTGAGATGGAAGGACTTCCTTTTCTCTGTCCTGAATCTCCCAACATTCAGCTTCACTGGATGTCCATGAGTGTTACGAGGGAGAAAAACTTTTCTCTATTTGCTTTCTCCATGCATTAGACCGCAGAATGCCAGAGTCAAACATGCTACCAGCTGAACGAAATGCTAACCCTGAAGAAAATGTGGGGGGTGGGCATCATTGCCACACAGACGAGCTCCGCTTCTTCTGTAATGTTTTTAAGCGGCTCTCTCCTAGCTACTTACTGACAGTGCTGGACAAATCAAAGATATGAATTGGAGGACGCAACCCTGCTGAGCTCATGGGGGTTTTTGCAGACAGGTTCCAGACTGCACTTCCTTCTCAAACATACCTAGCGTCGACCAGGCAAACATGGCCACCACGACTAAGAGACGCACAATGAAGCCAGGAGTATCAGAGCTTGCTAGCAGGACAAGCCTGCAGACCAGGAGAGCCACCGTCAAGGGGAGGATGCAGTAACCCAGGACACAGAGGCTCTGAAAAAAAGATCTTGGGAAGGAAGAAACAGCATTAAATTCTGGGTGGGTGGGGGGAAGAGAAAGGGCAGGTGTATTGCACTCACTTCTGGAGCACAGATGGTCAGCTTCTGGATTCTGGTCTCCAGACAGCAGTCCAGAAGCATATTGGGGAGCATAAATTACCCCTCATGAACGGCCAGAGGCTTCACAACAAAGCTTATGCCATCTCACCTTAAGGGCTTTGTGGTTATGCGGCTCGAGAAGCACATATGACTAAGTGGCAGGGCAGCAGCTCTACTTTGGAATTCCCTGCCTATTGATGTCAAGCTCATGCCTTCCCCGCTCTTTTCAGCACCTGCTAGAAACATTTGTGTTTAGACAAGCCTACTCAGGCATGTAGAATATTGATGTATGTATGTTTTAATCTGTTTTTAGTTTATTGATTATTTTAAAAAATGTTTTAAATACAGTCTACTCCCATTTTGCGCACATTCAAAGAACATGTGACTGTGCACACACGTATCACCACAAACCCAGAAGTGGCAGGAAAAGGGGGCGTAATGGGGTGGGTTTAGGCACGCTCTGCCAATGCATGCGATAACCTGCAACGTAACCTTTGCCTGTAGTTCTTTTAAACTGTTTTCACCAATAATTTGATTGTTTCAGTCTCTTTGTAACCTGCTTTGAGGTTTGTTTTTACAATCAAGCAGTGTATAAATTTTATGAAATAATAAGCATTTACATACAAATATGGACACTGACATTTGAGTCTATGGGACACTGAAGCATAGTTCTGCCTCTTACAGCTGAAAAAGATTTCCTTTTCTCCAGAACGTACAAATATCCAGCAGAAAGGGAGACTCAACAGAGTTTGTTCTCAAATGAGAATGCACATGGTGCAGCCTAAGATGGCAGCCTGCATCTTTGGCAGAGGCCTCAATGGATTTTATTTTTTTACAATATTAAAAAAGGTTTATTAAATAATCAACATATTTAACAACAAAACAAAACAAGGAGTCAGTTAGTGGCATGCTATTAAGAGAGCCATTGTACATGGTTGGATAGAACACCAGAACGTGAAGAGGTTCAGTTATTTTATTTTTATCTCATAAAATTTATACACCGCTGCATTGTTAAAGAAAAACCTCAAAGCAGTTTGCAATCTAAGGTCAGACTATAAAAGGTTATTGTTCTAGCATGAACAGAGAGCACTAGTACCAAATAAAGTAAATTTTGGTGGGGACCAAATATGACTTTATTTGGCTAGGTGGTGCCTCTTGAAATACGTATCATGTGCAAACTTTTCTGAAATTGGGATGCATAGGGCCTTCTGAAACCAAATGGGAATGGCAAAGTCCAGCGTAATTTCTGCATCCCTGGGTGATAGTCAATTTAGCTGCAGACAACAAATATATAATAAAATAGTTTTACAAACTAGTTCTGCACTGCCCTCTTCGGATATTGGAAATGAATGTGGCTTGGCATCAGGGTTGACTGGGCTGCCTACAATCTCAGGGATTTCTTGTTTTTCAAAGGGACTCTTCGTCGTTACTCAAGCAAAAAAGGAAGATGTGGGGAACAGCTTTGCAAGGAGGGCTGCCTCTCTCCCATCTCCCCAGACCCTTGCCCCAGAGAACATGGTTACAGCACCCACCCACCACACACTCACATGGTCCCTCCAAGCAGCTTGGAATTCAGTGTGATGACAACGGCTCCAAACCAAATGATGACGAAGACCTCTGCAAACTGGGGACCTCTGTCTTCCGTGCTATTTGCTGCTCCTCCCTGAAGCATTCTGGGAAAGCAGGGGAAACAAGGGAATTAGATCAGCAACAAACAGCGGGCAAATCTGGAGAACTGGTGCGCTGGTTTAGGAGTGTCAGACTAGGAACTGGGAGAGACCAGGGTTCAAATCCCCACTCAGCCATGAAGCCCACCAAGCCAGTCACTCAGCCTGACCTACCACACAGGGTCGTTGCTGGGATTAAATAAGGAGGGGAAGAATCATGTATGCCACCACAAACTCCTTGGAGAAAAGGGCAATGTGCTGTAATTAAGTTAAATAAGAAGTCTGGATGGCATGCAGTTACTTCTTCACTGCCCTCTATATCAACAGAATTCACTGCCACATTGGTGCCGAGTCGACGGATTGTGGCAGTTGAGCCAATGTAGCATAATGGTTTCAGTGTCAAGCTAGGACCTAGGAGAGACCATGGTTCAAATCTTCCCATTTGGCCATGTAGCTCACTGGGTGTGACCTTGCACTCTCAGCCTAACAGGGTTGCTGTGAGGACAAAAGGGCAGGGAGGACCAGAACCCTGTACACCATCTTGAGCTCCATGGGAGGAAAATTAGGATATAAATGTAATAAATAAAAAATAAAGTTTACCCTCTGCCAAAAAGGAGAAGCCCTTGTGCGGCCCATAGCCTGTTGCAGCAACTGCCAAACCCAGATTAGGCCCTATGTGAGGATCCTGAGAATCATAATCTTTAAAAATGCTGGCTTAAAAAAATATTAGTGTGGCATTGTTTTATTCATATTCTACATTACTTTGGTTTATTATTGTAGCTTCAGCACTGCATTTGGCTGTTTCCCCCAACAAATCCCAAAGCAGCGAAGGGGAAGGGAGGAATGTTGGTACTTACAGGGCAAGTAAAACACACAGGACTAGAGGACCCCATAAATCCCCTGGAATAAAAGAAAGAGAAAGAAAATCAATGAAGGGGTGTGGTGCTAAGGAAAAGCATGACTTCCTTTTCCTCCAGCCACTCTCTGCCTCCCCAGTCACTCTTGACTGTAGGGCATCAAATTGTTTATTTATTCCCCATGCTTCGTCCTAAGGCCCTAGGGCATGTTACAACATTAGAAAAGTATATTAAGAAGAGTTTAAATGACTTGCAATCAAGGAAATTAAATGGGTCTGTATCCTCTGAAGGCAGATGGCTACCCATTGGGCACCCTCAGCACCCAAAGGTCTGTAGGGAAGAAGGTGGCCTTTGGGGTATTTGGGGCCTGAGTTGTTTAGGCACAAATGTCAGCTCAAATCCCTGTATCACTACATTAAGTTTCAAATGGAGAATTTAACCCACCAAATATTTCACCTAAAACTTCTCTTCCCTCCCCACCACACCCCTGAATTCCTCGTGTTACTCCCTTGCTTGAAAGAAATGCTGAATTTTAGACAGGTTAGTAAGAGAAAAAGGTGGATTTATTTTCACAGGTTTCAAAGCTTTGAAATGAATCTGGCACGTACAGTCTCTCAGGAGGGCACTGCTCTTTTTGGGATACATGACATGGACGAATTTCTTCCCAACTGCTTTCAGGTCCCGCATCTGAAAAGTTTGAGGAATGGGCTGTATTACTGGGCTGTACAAATTTTCGGGCAAAGGATGCTATTAGAGCAATGCTAACCACCTACCCCGCCCCACAAACTGACAGGCTGGATGGTGTCAGAGCATGGCCCAGGTTCCTCTCTGCCAGGTTCTATCAACAGAGTGCTTCCACTGAGCTGAATGCATGGTGAGCAGAAGCTACCATCAGTGGTTGCTGGTGCAGACCCACAAAACAGGGCATTTGGGTGGTAGAGCTGGGCTGACCAAGGATTCACTGGCTCCTGAGGCACTCCAGCTACCAGCAATGGGCCTGATCCAGGCCTCCCTGCTATGTCAATGTATAACAGCAAAAATGACAGGTATACTGTGGCATGCAAACCACTCCCACCCGCTCAGCCTGGAACAAGCAGCAAGACTCCTAGATGTCTTCATAGGAATGTAGGGGGCTACCTTATACTGAGTCAGACTCAGTATTATCTACACTGACTGGCAGCAACAGCTCTCCAGGGCTCCAGGCAGGGACCTATCCTGGCCCTATCTGGACATGCCATTGGGGGTTGAACCCGGGACCATCTGCACACAAGGTTCTACCACTGAGTAGAACCCACCCCTTGACAGATGGCATGCCATGTTAACATTAAGATATTGTGTTACAGACAATAAGATTGAACTGTGATGCATGTTTTTTATTTTCATGACTTTTGACAGGGTCCCTGCAACAGGGTCAAACTAAGCTTACTCTCGGGTTGTGCCCTATGGCACAATCTACTTATCACACACCCATCAAGTGAGCAGTGTGCCAGAGCCACTTAAATTTCCACATTATTAATTACTGTAAAACACATCTTCGGTTGAAGAGGTGATATGGTTTAGCCAATCCCCGAAATTTACCTGCATAAATTGCAAGCACTTTGGAAACTCAGAGAATACCATTTTAAGATATTCTTTTAAATTTCTACCCCTCAGCCACTTACAATTGTGTCCTTAACCGGCTCATCCAGGGTGGAGTTGTCTTCGTCTGGGGAACGAGATCCCACAGGAACTGTGATTTCTCCTTCTACTGGAATATCTTCCGATATTGACACATCTGCAAGGCCTGCAAACTGCATATTTTCAACACACTTTTAATTATTGTTATTATTAGCTTTTATGAACCACCTTTCTGCAAGGCACCCAAGCCAGTTTACAATTTTAATGGACTGAAACAAATGATATAACACTTGAAGTTTAAGCATGCAAAAGCGGGGAGGGGTAGCTTTCTTGGGGAAAACAAAACATACAATGTATGGTTATGATTGCTTTTTTAGGTCAGACTAAAGCTCTACATTGAATAACCGAACCGTAGAGCTGGAAAAGGACCCTTAGGGTCATCGAGTCCAACTCCCTGCACATCTACTTGACAGGTGACCATCAAACCTCTGCTTAAAAACCTCCAATGAATAACAGAATTTTAGAATTCTAGGTACCCACAAGGACTATCTAGTCCAACTTCCTGCAATGCACCAACAGGCTGGACACCTGCAGAACAAGGTGCTGTTAGGATTCCAGCATTTGCCTACCAGATATATGCATCTTCTAATTAGGAGCATCCTATTTTACGCTATTGCAGCTCTCATAGAAATTTAATAAATAATAACTGTGGGGGTTATTGTTTTTCTTTGTTACTATGTTATGTAGTTTTGTGTTTTTATATTGTAAAGAGCCCTGTGAACCTTTGATGGGCAGTATAGAAAGTTAATAAATAATAACAACAATAATATTCACTGACAAATATAGATTCAACAAAATCTGGGGGCCTGTTTCTTAAAGCTTTTTTAAACTATTTTTAATATTGCGTTTCAATATTAAGCTCATTTCAATTTTTGTGACCCACATATGACTGAAAGGCTAGTAATGATTTGCAGCAATAATAATAGATAATGCTGAGGGCAATGCAGATTGCAACCACAGAGAGAGGGAGGCTGCAGTTATCAGCCCCCACTCGCCTCTTTTCAATTTAAACGTAAGAACACAACAGCCTTGTTGGGTCAGCTCGAAGGTCCCAGCCTTCATGGGAACCAACGAAGGAGGAGGGTGGAGCCCGGAGCTGCCCTTCCCGAGTATTTGGCTGGTGCTCAGAGGTAGACTGCCTGGGACATGGAGGTTCGGCTGCCCTTGGTCTTCTCCCTCCCTCCGAGAGCGCTATCAGGGGAGGAGAGTGGGGTCACAAGCATTTTAGTAGGGCAGGAAGTTTTGGGGACCAGGAGCGCCCTGCTTCTGACGTCATCCCATCTTGTGGCAGGGAGTTCCGTCGGTCAGCCCTGCGCCTGAGGGGGTCTCACGCCCTCCCCGCGTCCTTCTTCAGCTGGTTCCCCTCCCCTCCCCTCCCTTCGCCTCTCCTCCCGACCCACCAGCGGCTTTGTGCCTCCATCAGCCCGCATCGCTGCCGCTTCCTCGGCTGCCGCCATCTTGGACCCAGCTACTATGGAGCGACGACGTGGCCAGCAACCACGCCCCCTACCGCGTGTGCGTCATCATACCGCGCCATCGTTCAGGCGCCTCTGTTGTCATAGCAACTGAGGAGGCCTAGGTCTGAAGCCAGAGGCGGGGTGCAGGGCGCGGGGCCGTTGGTGGGGAAAGAGAGAGCCGAATTTCTCATAAGGGAGCATAAGGGCCCCTCTTCTACTCCCCCACGACGCTGAGTCACACGCACACTATGTTCCCCCAAGTTTTGAAATATGACAATGAGAGACAGCGTCCCTTCCCCAACCTGGGAATTTGGACTATAACTCCCGTCACTGTCGGCCAGGACGGCCGGCGGGCTGATTGGACGGCGCTGGACTGGTGGGGCGGTGGTAGCGCTGGTGGGGCCTGATGGGAGTTGTAGGCTGAGGAAGGTTGATGGACATTTTTAACATTACGCCACCTTTCAGGATATTAATCTCACGAAGGTCGCTCCCAGGTATTATACTGTTATTGTTGTTGCTAATCTACCATATCCACTAATACAGATCCATAGTATTATAGGATTGCAGAGGTACAAGGGTACCGAGCAATGCAGGAATCCAGCCATCGCAGGAATTGCCGAATGGGGGGTCCACCTGTTTTTGATCGGCGAGTCAGAAAATATAAAATCCCACATGAAACTGCTGAATCAGCAAGAAAGTGAACGTGACTTTTCCTGAATCCTGATTAATTTTTGAGGGTTAAAAACACAGGAGCTACAATTTATGCTTCAGATCCATAATCATGGCTTTCAAGAGTGTATTTCCAATAATAAAACCACACTTCTACAAAGTGGAAAACGAAGGGTACAAATTTATTTATTTCAATATTGATTACATTTCCATCCCAACTTTTCCTTCAAGGAGCCCAAGGCAGCATACATTATTCTCACCATTCTCTCTTTTTTTAAAAAAATGCTTTTTATTAAGTTTTCATTTCAAATACACCAACACCAACAAAATACAAAGATATTTCAAATCTTTTTACATCTGTCTTATTTTACACTCCGTGGAGCAGTTGACTTCCCTCCTTCCCTTCTGCAGGTTTTCTTATTCCAATCTAACCCACAGTTCCTTAGTAGTAAGCCATGACATAAGTTTTATTTCAGTACTGCTAACGTCTTCAAGTTTCTACAGTTCTCACTTATACAGACCATAAATTTACTCCATTCTTTTTGGTACCTTGTTTCCTCCTGACTAAAAATCCTATGGGTCAGTTTTGCTAATTCCGCATATTCAACCATCTTTGTCTGCCACTCCTTCACAGTTGGTAATTCCGGTGTTTTCCATTTCTGGGCTATCAGAACTTTGGCATATTCTCACCATTCTCATTTTGCCCTCACAACAACACTGTGTGGGGTAGGTTAGGTTGAGAGGCAGTGACTGACTCCCAAGGTGGTGCTCAGTAAACATGGCCAAGTAGCAGGATTTGAAACTTGGTCTCTCCCAGGTCCTAGCCCAACACTCTGACCATCACACTAGCACTGGGTTAGGTCACATTTTTTCAGTAAAAAAAGAATAGCATCAAAGTTCTGTATCTTAAACTAGCATCAGTGTCAGGATGCATATTTATTTCTTTTACTATTTGCCTGAATTTTGCTCCATTTATGCAACATTTTAAAAATTCCTTTCCAGTTTTTAAACCAATAGTCAGGCTATTCTATTGGTTTAAAACCAATATTGGTTTTTAAACCAATAGTCAGGGGGCACTGTTATACAGTAGTTCCACTCCTTCCTCCTGGGCCGTGTTCAGAAAGTGGTGGTGGGGGATGAGTGTTCAGGCCCCTGGGCTCTCGCTTGTGGGGTGCCTCAGGGTTCCGTCCTTTCCCCCGTGCTTTTCAACATCTATATGAAACTGCTGGGAGAGATCATCAGGGGGTTTGGGCTGGGTGTTCATCAGTATGCAGATGATACCCAGCTCTACATCTCTTTCAGCTCAAAACCAGTGAAGGTGGTGAAGGTCCTGTGTGTCTGGAGGCAATTGGAGGATGGATGGCGGCTAACAGATTGAGGTTGAATCCTGACAAGACAGAAGTACTGTTTTTGGGGAACAGGAGGCAGGCAGGTGTGGAGGACTCCCTGGTCCTGAATTGGGTAACTGTGCCCCTGAAGGACCAGGTGCGCAGCCTGGAGTCATTTTGGACTCAGCTAGCTATGGAGGTGCAGGTCAATTCTGTGTCCAGGGCAGCTGTTTATCAGACCCTACCTGCCCGCAGACTGTCTCGCCAGAGTGGTGCATGCTCTAGTTATCTCTCGCTTGGACTACTACAATGTGCTCTATGTGGGGCTACCTTTGAAAGTGACCCGGAAACTACAACTAATCCAGAATGTGGCAGCTAGACTGGTGACTGGGAGCGGCCGCTGAGACCACATAACATTGGTCTTGAAAGACCTACATTGGCTCCCAGTACGTTTCCGAGCACAATTCAAAGTGTTGGTGCAGACCTTTAAAGCCCTAAACGGCCTTGGTCCAGTATATCTGAAGGAACGTCTCCACCCCCATCTTTCTACCCGGACACTGAGGTCCAGCGCTGAGGGCCTTCTGGTGGTTCCCTCGCTGCGAGAAGCCAAGTTACAGGGAACCAGGCAGAGGGCCTTTTCGGTAGTGGCATCCGCCCAGTGGAACGCCCTCCCACCAGATGTCAAAGAGAAGAACAACTACCAGACTTTTAGAAGACATCTGAAGGCAGGCCTGTTTAGGGAAGCTTTTAATGTTTAATAGACTATTGTATTTTAATATTTTGTTGAAAGCCACCCAGAGTGGCTGGAGAAACCCAGCCAGATGGGCAGGGTATAAAAAATAAATTATTATTATTATTATTATTATTATTATTATTATCAGGGGCTCTGGCCTTGACCCACCGAAAGCCCCCAGAGCCTCCTTTTGTGCATATTTTTATGAATTTGTGGGGTGCCTGGAGTCTCCTAAGTTCTGATTGCCAGACACTGTGTTTAGCATAGGTAAAATACAGGCAAAACAAATCTTCCTGTGTCCGGGCTAGCCTGAGTCATTAAGCAAATAAAGACAGTGTGATGACTATCAACAAGGCAAAAACTCTCTGCTGGAGGCAGAAGGGTAGAGCCTGGATTGAGAGATAGTAAGAGACAAAAAAGGCAGAGTTTTAGGAGGGAGGGGCGGAATTGGAGTGGGTGGTGATGTAAGCTGAAGGAAAGTTAGTTAACATTTGGAAAGCAGTTTGTCAGCTAGAGAGAAAGCAGGATCAGAGCACAATTGTGGGCTGGCAGTTTTGGACCCAACATTGCAGCCGACGAGAGAGTGAGAACCTGTTTTCAGTGTAATGCTTTGAACCCCTCCATAGTATGCTCAGGTTGCATATACAGTGGTACCTCTGGTTACATACGCTTCAGGTTACATACACTTCAGGTTACAGACTCCGCTAACCCAGAAATCGTACCTCGGGTTAAGAACTTTGCTTCAGGATGAGAACAGAAATCGTGCTCTGGTGGCGCGGCGGCAGCAGGATGCCCTATTAGCTAAAGTGGTGCTTCAGGTTAAGAACAGTTTCAGGTTAAGAACGGACCTCCGAAACGAATTAAGTACGTAACCAGAGGTACCACTGTATATGTAAGTAAACTATAAACATGCAATCTCCTGTTTTGTGTGCTTTCACAGTACGTGAACATGCATGCATAGACCAGTTTTGGATCCAGAAGAGAGCACAGCGGAGCAGGGTGGGCTTATGTGTGCTCTGCCAACATACATGATGACCCAGAAAGTAGTCCCCAAGCAAAATGTGGGTTGCTTACATCATAAAGACACCACTGTCTCCGCTGTGCCTCATTTCAAAGGACACGTGAGCCTGGGATAAATGCCTGTAACCCCTGGAATCTTGCACAGCTGTGGAGATTGGGGTGGTGTATAACAATATGATGGGAATGATCTGTCAAACCTCTGTTATATTGTAAGAAGAGAGATATGTTTAATACTGCTAAGCAGAAAGCTTCCATTCCTGTTAACAGGCATAGATTGTTTTCCACACATTTGTCTAATCCTTGTTAAAGCCCATCAATCCTAGTCATTTATCTCCACTAATGCAGAACCATACAATAGTAGAGGTGGAAGAGACCCCAAGGATCATCTAGTCCCTCCAGTCCAGGAATCATAGCTCAACAATCTTACAGATGGCCATCTAACCTCTGCTTAAAAACCCACAAGCAATTAATTAATTGGGGGTTGAATGGCTTTCTGCCCTAAGATTTGTCAGGAGAGATGGGTGTTTGTTCTTTCCTTTCCTCTCTCTTGCATTTCAGCCAAAACATGGAGTTTGGTTTGAGGAGAAGAATTCAACAATGGGATGATCTTGGCTGCCTTTTAAAAATTTGCATTGCAGGGGGTTGGACTAGATGACCCTTGGGATCAATCCCAACTCTACATTTCTATTATTCTAACCTCCTCCATGGAGATCCCAGGGACTACATTTTACACGCGAATCTTCTGCTAAATTCTTCATGTAACCCTTAAAGAATTAAAACACTTTCACTGGGTCCTTTACAAAAAGAGTCATCTTTGATTTACCCGTTCTACATCCTGTGTTCTCTGAACCTCTGTGTTTCCCTGTCCTACCTTACCTATTTATTTTTTTCCAAAGAGGAAGCAGGATCAGGATTTGTTCACTGCCTCACCCCTCCTCCTAGTTCAGCTGTCCTGGAGCCTGAACGTGGTCAAAAGCTCAACTCCAGAGTTCATTGCTTTGCAAACCCCGCCAGACCGAAGTCTGAGAAAGGTTGCAAAAGGGTGTCCGGTGTCTGAGATCGCCATGAAGACTCTCATTGCTGCATATTTCCAAAACCAGAGTGGTAAGGGAAAAGGCAGCATAAGATTTAAAGCTATAGCAAATATGTCTACCAAAAAGGTCCCTTTAAAAAATCATTGGGTGATGTGGGTTTTCATGGTAATTGTGCAACAGCTGGCTGTTTCCTGAGTAACACATTTTGATTTGGGGGCACAAAACAAGTCTCAAGGGTTTTAGGAATGTCTGTGGATGGAATCTGGTGATCTGGGATTGATCCCAGGGAAGATTGAAGTGTATTTCTAACCAGTTTAACAAAAATACAATTGCATTAAAAAAAGAAATCAGATGGCAACCTTTACAGATTGTAGAGATGCTGTGGATGTTATTTATCTTGATTTCAGGAAACCACCTATTTATTCTGTCTTGCAAGCAGATGGCTTCTTGATGAGCATATGTCCATTCAGTGCCACAGCACCTTGCAGATGAATGAAAGGGACTAGTGTAAGGGTCTGCACTTAGGCAGGAATAATCAGATGCGCAGCTATAGGATGGGGGACACCAGACTTGAAAGTGCAAAAATGATTTTGTAGACCACAAGCTGAACAAAAATAAGCTGGTGCTATTCTAGGCTGTATCAACAAAAGTCTAGTGTCCAGATCAAGGGAAGTCATAATACTTCTTTATTCTGCCTTGGTCAGACCCCACCTGGAGCACTGTGTCCAGTTCTGGGTGCCACCATTTAAGAGAAATATTGATAAGGTGGAACATGTGCAGAGGAGGGTGTCCAAAATGATAAAAAGTCTGGAAACCCAACCTTGTGAGGAACAAGTGAAGGAGTTGGGCATGTTTAGCTTGGAGAAGAGGAGACCAAGAAGTGATATGTGAGTCAACCTCAGATATTGAAAGGGTTGCCCCACAGAAGACGGAGCAAGCTTGTTTTCTGCTACCCTGGGGGGGGGGGGGTTGTACCTGAAATGATGGATTCAAATGACAAGAAAGGAGAGTCCAACTAAACATTGAGAAGAACTTTCTGACGGTAAGAGCTGTTTGATCATGGAATGAACTTCATCGGGAGGTGGTGGACTCTCCTTCCTAGGAGGTTTTAAAGCAGATGTTGGTTTTATGGATGGATGCTTTACTTGAGATTCCTGCATTGCAGGGGACTGGACTAGATTACCCTCGGGATTTCTTCCAACTCTACAATACCAGGATTCTATGATCCCTCCCTCCCTCCCTCCCTCCCTCCCTGTTTAGCTCCTGAGTTTTTAAGTTAAGTACTTTTCTCTAAGAGGGGATTGGTTGGCAACCTCCTTCATTATTTTAGTCCATATTGGGCTGTGACATCTGTGGCAGTGGTTAATGTTTCACCATATTTTAGCCACGAGGAAATAAAATGCCGATGTGGGAGTCTCGAGGCCAAGAGGCGGGAAAGACCTTGACCAAATACTTTCCTTATCAGTCACAGTAGGACAGGATGGGCTCTGAGAGACCAGATGGGCTAAAATTCTTCAAACTTCCCTCTCCTGCAGGTAGGATGTGGGGAAGCGGGGATGGGACCTTCAGCCAGTCACAACTTGGCCATGCTTGTGAGATGGAATAAGAGGTTTTTTTTAGAGTTGGAAGGACCATCAAGAGTTATCTAGTCCATCCCCTGCAGTGCAGGAATCTCAGCTAAAGCATCCATGACAGATGCCCATCCAGTCTCTGTTGAAAAATCTCCAATAAAGGAGAGTCCACCACTTTCCAAGGGATTCCAACAACTCTTACTGTCAGAAAGTTATTCTTGATGTTTAGTTGGAATTTCCTTTCTTGTAACTTGAATCCATTGGTTCGGGTCCTACCTTTCAGAGTAGGAGAAAACAAGTTTGCTCCATCCTCCATGTGACAGCCCTTTAGATATTTGAAGATGGCTATCATATCTCCTCTCTGTCTCCTTTTTTCCAGGCTAAACATGCCAACTCCATTAACTGTTCTTCATAAGGCTTGGTTTCCAGACCCCTGATCATATTGGCTGTCTACCTATGCACATGGTTCAGCTTGTCAATATCCTTCTTAAATTGTGGTGTCCAGAATTGGACACAGTATTCCAGGTGTGGTCTGACCAAGGCAGAATAGAGCAAGACTATTACCATATTGGCCCGAATATAAGCCACACCCAAATATAAGCAGGACCTTAAAAATTGGAGGAGAAAAAAGAAAAAATCCACAAATATAAGCAGCTCCCTTCCTGGCTCCTTCTGGAGAGGATGGGGCACTACGCGTGGGGCAGGCACTGCTTCGCCACGCTCCTGGCGCTGTTTGCCTTGCGCTCCTTGCTGCATACCGTAATGTTGCAAATATAAGCCACACTTTAACTTTTCACGTTTGGAATTTGGGGGGAAAGTGAGGCTTATATTCAGGCCAATGCAGTACTTCCCTTGATCTGGACTCTAGTCTTCCATTAATGCAGGCTAGTATGGCATTAGCTTTCTTCGCTGCTGGATCACACTGTTGCCTCATGTTAAGCTTTTGAGGGAGTCCATTCCACTGTCAAATGGCTTTTACTGCCAGAGCTGGACTCTTCTTCTTTGCAGCTGGAATCCATCAGTTTGGGTCCTATTCTCTGGAGCAGTAGAAAACAAGCACGCTCCATTCAACATTCCAGTAACCCACTTCATAGTGTTACCAGAAATCAAAGCTTAAATGACCAGAGCTTTTAACACCTTTTGAAAACAGGCACTAAAATCCCTTACTGATGAGAGAGACCCCATCTGAAAATTTCCAGATCTTATTGCAAGAAATCTCAGGGGTGCATTGGACTCCCGAGGGTCTTAGCAGGTTGAAGAACACCCCGCAATATCTGGGACTCAGAACCATACCAGTCAGTGATGTTCAGATCCTCTTGGCAAAATTGATGATGCCACATGAGGCCTCCCAGTCTCTGGGCTCCCAGACTCCTTGGCGCTGCCTCTCACCTTCTGACTGGACCCCCCTTGCCTGGGCTCAAGAACTTCTACTACTTGGGGGCAGAACTGGGCTTCTGTCTTGTCACCTGAGCCAGCTGCCTAGGTTAAGTTTCTCGGAACCTCCCTTGCTCATTCTGGGTACCCCCTTTCTGTCCTCACCCTGGCTCAAGCCTAGCAGAAGCTCCAGTGCTTTGATGCTTTGCTCCTGCTCTATGACCACTTAAATGGGATCAGATCCTGGACCCAGCCCCAACCTGTGGCCAACCTTGTTCACCTGCATCTCTGAGTCAGAGTACTTGGCTCAGTGGAGTCAAGGTGGGGATGCTCAAATGATATTTCGTTTCTGCAGCCATATAGCCTTTGCATCGGTCCTGGGCTATGCAGGGAGTGCATATTTATTGAGCGGGCCAGGGAGAATTTGGACATCTTGGATCCGCTTCCCATATGCTCTGTGAAATTTTGGAACATTCTTTGGGGAGGGTGTGAAGGTCCTCTTCTCTCCAAAGCTGGAGGCTTGTGGTCTGCTGAGTATTCCAGAGCCTGGGAGCTGCTCCCAAGTCCTTGTCTCCTGTGGACTTTTCATTAGTGCTCTTTTTTCCAAGGAATCAACCCCCCGGCTGCCTCCAGTGCATTAGCCATTGAGGGGCATCCTTGAACCAAATTTCAGTCTCCAAAACCCCAGGAGAGTAAGAGCTGTTCAACAGCAGAACTGACTCTCTCAGATGGTGGTGGACTCTCTTCCACTGGAGCTTTTAAAACAGAGGTTGGCTTGCCATCTGTTAGTGACTCTGTGATGTCTGCGTTGCAGGGGGTGGACTAGATGACAATTTTGAGCACTTCCAACCCTATAATTCTGTGATATGAGGCTATCAAAATATCCATGTGAATATCTCTCTTTATATATATATAATTTTTTATTAGTTTTTTTAACAAATCATTTTCAACAGTAATTAAACATACTTTTACATCTTATTCAAATTTTTGACTTCCATCAATCCTGTCTGGAAATTTTCCAATCTAATCTCTCTGTATGCATTTCTTATCTTCCCTATTACATTTCAAACTCATAACCAATATCTCTATCTTTTTCTACTTTGTAACACTTTGTATATTTCTCCTTACAAAACTTCTTGTAGTCCTACTAGCGTAATTTGTTGATTACAGTTGCTCTTCAAATAATTCATATACTTCTTCCAATTTTCTATAAATCTCTGGTCCCGCAGGTTTCGAATCCTTCCTGTCATTTTGTCCAGTTCTGTGTAGTCCATTAATTTCATCTGCCATTCTTCTTTCATCGGAATTTCTTCTTGTTTCCATTTCTGGGCTAACAATACTCTTGCCGCAGTTGTTGCATACAAAAACAATTTAACATCTTGCCTATTAATGTCCTGACCTATAATACCAAGTAAAAATGCTTCTGGTTTTTTAAAAAATGTATATTTCAAGATCTTTTTCATCTCATTATATATCATTTCCCAGAAGTTCTTTACTTTTTTACATTCCCACCACATATGATAAAATGTTCCTTCTTTTTCTTTACATTTCCAACATTTATTATTTGTCTTATACATTTTAGCTAATGTCACTTGTGTAATATACCATCTAAACATCATTTTCATCATGTTCTCTTTCAAAGCATTATAGGCTGTAAATTTTATCCTTTCATTCCACAACCTTTCCCATTCTTCAAGCTGTATATTATATCCAAAGTCTTTTGCCCAATGCATCATTACCGATTTCACTTCCTCATCTTTCAAATGCCATTCCAGCAGTATTTTATACATTTTAGACATTGCTTTACATTCATTGTTTAATATTTCTATTTCAAATTTTGATTTTTTATCATCAAATCCTTTTTCCTTTAAATCCTCTTTATATATTTCATTGACTTGGCGATAGTGCAACCAATCATTTACATATTCTTTAACTTCTTCATATGGTTTCATTTTCCATTTATTTCCTTTCCCCCACAACAAATTCTCATAGGTAATCCAATTTTTACTCATATTTATCTTTTTCACACTCATAGCTTCTAATGGAGATAACCACCACAGTGTTTTATGTTCTAATAAGTTTTTATACCAGTCCCATACTTCATATAAAGATCTTCGAAATATGTGATTACCAAATCCTTTATGGATTTTTGTTTTATTATACCATAGATATGCATGCCAACCAAATCTATTGTCATAACCTTCTAAATCCAACAAATCTGTATTTCTTAACAGCATCCATTCCTTTAACCAACAGAGGCATACCGCTTCATAGTACAACTTCAAGTCTGGCAGGGCGAAGCCCCCTCTTTCTTTAACATCTGTTAACAACTTATATTGTATTCTTGGTTTCTTCCCCTGCCAGACATATCTTGAAATTGCTTTTTGCCATTCTTTAAAAATTTCTGCCCCCTTGATTATAGGAATTGATTGAAACAAAAATAAAATCTTTGGTAGCACATTCATTTTTATAGTTGAAATCCTTCCCCCAAATGATAATTTCATTCTTCCCCATATTTCCATGTCTCTCTTAATTCCATTCCACACCGGTGTATAGTTATTTTGAAATAAATCTATGTTCATTGTGGCTAACCAAATTCCTAAATACTTAACTTTTTAAACTACTTCTATACCAATTCCCTGCTGCAACAGAGCAACCAAGTCTTGTTTCATATTTTTAACTAATATTTTAGTCTTGCTTTTGTTTAATTTAAAACCTGCTACTTGTCCAAATTGTTCTATTTCTTTAATAACTTCTTTGGCATTATTTAATGGTTCTTCTATAGTTAGTACCAAGTCATCTGCAAAGGCTTTCACTTTATGTTCTTTCCGGCCAACTGAAATTCCTTTTATTTATCCATGTGAATATCTCAAAGGGGAGTTCATCACTGTCATGTTTGAGGGTGTCCTTTTTACTCCTGGCATTTTGTACGGATCTGAGGTATTATTTTCTGTGCCTTGGTTGATCTGAGCCCTTAGGTCATCAAGAGGGAGAAGATACTGAATTGTGCCACTTTCACCAGTATAACTGCTCAAAAACTATGGCATCATTTAGTTTTCCTCTGCTTAGGACAGAAGCTTAGTCAGTGCAATTCTCCTTCCGTTTTTGTGTGTGTGTGTGTGTGTGTGTGTGTGTGTGAAAATAGCACCTGGTACCATTTTCTGATGGAGGTATGGTTAATTGGATATGCATAGGAACATTCATTTTTGGAGGCAGGAGGTGTCATTTCCTTTCTTTTGTTGTTGGTATACCTTTTCTCATGCTTTGCAGTCTAGAAGTTTCCATTTTCCACTTTCCTCACCTTGCAGATAACCAGCCTAAACAGTTATGGCTTCCCCCCAGATACCCTCTCACCAGAGGATCCTGGGAGCTGTAGTTTGTCCAGGAGGCCTTTATCCCCGTCCCAAAGTTATAATTCCCTGGAATGAGGAATTGTCTGTTAAATCACTCTGGGAACGGCGCAGCCCTTCTCTGCAGCCCTTCTCTGCAGTTGCCATTTTCTTATATAAATCAAGATGGATATGTGCAATTCTGCAGCACTGGTTTGTTTGTTTTTAAGGCATTTGCAAAATATCTTGGTGTGAAGACTCACATCCGAAGCATTTACAGTTCACCCAATTCATTCCAATGTTTGTACAGAAAAGATCTGCACCTTTGCTTTACTGGTCAGATTATTCACTGGGATTCTGCAAACAATGATACCCCCTCCCCCAAATCACCAAAGGACAAAGATAAATCCTCTACTTGTTTTAATTGGCTCCCCTAATTGTTGTATTGGTTGAGATAGATGAAAACTATACTTGGCCTTAGAACCAGAAATGCAATCTTATGGTAACATTAGTATATTATAATACATGATCAATGTTGTTCATTTTTAGGAAGCATGAGAGCTTCAATATCATCATCCTTCCATGGGATGATACATATAATATCTTCAACCCACGATCCTCAGAGTCTTTCAACTTTATCCCCTTGCATTTCTCCTTAGGCTTAAAACTGTAGGATAAAGCACAATATCAGAACTAGGTCCCTGATGCCATGCAAGCTTAACAGGAGTTCCCTGCTTAATCTACAATTCTACAATTGTATGGTTCATTCATTTCATAGATGGCACCTGGCTTTTAGTAGGAAATTCAAGTACCTATAGCCCCCTGTGCTGGAGTGGTCCCTTTCAGCTCTACAACTCTAATTTTTTAAAGCAATTTCTGCATTACAGGGGGTTAAACTAGGTGACCCCCTGAGAGTCCCTTCCAACTCTACAGTTTTGTAATTCTATGATCCTTTATGCAAAGCAATGCCTGTTTGCATCTCTATCATCTGCCCTGACCTTCCTTACTCTCACCTTTATCCTCCTGCCAACTGTCTGAACAAATATCAGTTCATATCATGCCACTATTTCTGGCTGCCAGAGTTGGACACCACCCTCCCACCCACCATCCCAAGGGCAGGTGGCGGGCCAGGGTGAACTTATTCTTGGGTCACCAACCCTTTTCTTCATCATTGTTTTCACACTGCTGGGATGTGGCAATACAAGAATCTAGGAAAAGAGTCAACACTTAGGCAGGAATAAGCAGATGCACAATTATGGGATGTGGGAACATCTGGCTTGAAAAGAATTTGAGAGTCTAGGTAGACTTCAGGCTTAACATGAAGCAACAGTGTGACATAGCAGCAAATCCCTCAAGTGAATCTAGGTGGCATCAACAGAAGATGTGTGTCTAAATTAAAGGAACTCTATTCTGCAATGGTCAGCCCTCACTGGAAGTCCTGTGTCCAGTTCTAGGCACCACAATTTAAGAAGGATATTGACAAGCTAGAAAGTATGCAAAGGAGGGCAACCAAGAAAATAAAGGGTCTGGAAACCAAGCATTAGGATGAACGGTTGAGGGAGTTTAGATTATTTAGCCTAGAAAAGAGGAGACTGAGAGGATATATGAGAGCCAGGGCTTTTTTTCAGATGGAACTCAGTTCCAGCCACTCTCAGGTGGGCACCAAATGTTGCCATTCTAAGAGTACAAGAGAGGTGTTCATGGTGAATTCCGGCACCTCTTTTTCTAGTAAAATAGCACTGATGATAGCCATCTTCAAATACCTTAAGTGATACACAGAGGAAGATGGAGCAAACTTGTTTTCTGGTGCTTCAGAAGGTAGGACCCAAACCAATGAAGGAGACCCGAACAACAAGAAAGATTCCATTGGGTATGATTTTCTGGTGGTAAGATCCATTTGACAGAGGAACAGATGACTGTGGAAGGTGGTGGACTCCATTAAAAATTTTTAAACCAGAGTCTGAATGCTTGTTTATCAGAGATTCCTTAGCTGTGATTCCTGCATTGCAGGCATTGGACTAGATAACCCTTGGGGACACCTTCCAACTCTACAGTTATATGATTCTTTGGGGCAGACCCTATTAGAGTGTATGCTTAGTTCTGTAGATGGGCAATCATTGTACGACTATTCCTTCCCTTGAGCTGGGCACAAGAACTCCATCGTTGCAGCTGAGATTTGCATGAGCTATTTTTGCTGCTGCATCACACCGTTGACTCACCTTAAGCTTGTGGTCTACTAAGACCCCTGAGATCCTTTTCGCATTGAATGCTGATGCACACAGAAATGCCACGTGTCTCTGTTTGCTGAAATGCCATGCTTAAGCAGCATACGTGTCGCTGGCTGGCTGGCTGGCTGCTGATGCACACAGAAATGCCAGGTGTCTCTGTTTGCTGAAATGCCATGCTTAAGCAGCATACGTGTTACTGGCTGGCTGGCTGGCTGCCTTCCTAGGTAAAGAGGGGTGATTCTGCCCATGACCTTTCCTGCCCTTTGTCCTGCATGCGCCTGTTGTCTGTATGTCACTGGATGGCGCAACCTGCTTTTCTCAAGGGTGGAATCCACCAGATGTTTCTGGGGATTGGTTCAGTCACTGAGGGCGTCTCCCAATGGTGGGAGGGTGGAGAAAAGCTGAGCAAACAGGTCAGTGCAACCTGGTCTGGGTGTCCTTTTCCTTTCCAGGGATCCATGCCAGCATCCAGGCTGCTCTCCGCGTGCTGCTGGCTGTGCCATGGCCTTCAAAACGAGATTTCTTGGCTGGCCTCCAGCTCCTGTCAGTCCTCCAGTGGATTTTCAGCTTCTTGATGCTGGGTGAGTAGAATGTGACTCTTTTTCTGACTGATGGCCACCTTGAGAAGAGGGACAGTGTCATGTGGTGGTTAGAGTTTCGGTCTAGGACCCGGGAGAGGTTTGAATCCCTACTCGGCTACAAAATGCACCGGGTGTGATCCTGGGGACCAGTCACTGCCCGTCACCTTAACGTACCTCACAGGGCAGTTGTGGGGATTAAATAAGACTAGGACCTGGGCGATCAGACTTCAAATCCCCCCTCAGCCATGAAGTCAATTGGGGAAGTTTGGGGGCCGGCCAGCCACTGCTTTTTGGCCTAACCCACCTCACAGGTGGCCCTGTCATGGATGCTTTAGTTGAGATTTAGTTGGACTTCACTAAACAACCCTCAGGGTCCCTTCCAACTGTACAATTCTGTTAATCAAGACCTGAGAGCCTTGAAGGAGTAAAGCAGGAGTGGAGAATACTGAGGAGACAGTGAAGAAACCGGTTTCCTTTGCATTGGTGACATAGTGATTGTTGGGCACTTTCCTTTCCAATCCTTCCTAGAAAGATATATAAAACAAAAGTTTTCTCTACCTGTGAGTTCCATCATAGTTCAGAACAGAAGTTTAAAATACACATTTGCCAGGATAACACAATGGGAAAAGACCTCCAAAGGGATGGCTGATTTGACACATGTGCTTTGGTCAAGCCATCTCTCTGGCTAAACAGTTGCCCTGAGACCACAGAACCAAAGATCAGCTCATATTATCCTCACAGCAACCCTGTAAATTACGCTGGGCAGAGAGATGGTGACTTACCCAAGGTCACATTCAGAAAGTTTTGTGGCTGAGCAGGGGACTAGAGCCTGGCTCTCTGGGTCTTAGCCCAGCTCTCTAACCATTATACCAGTTTGGCTCTCAAAGGAGCCCTGAGCCATATAGAGTTTGAAGTAAGTAAGTACACAAATGAATGAAAAAAATGAATGAATGAATGAATATGTAAATGAGTAAATGTATGCATGTATGTATTGTTACAAGCCTCTCTGAGCAAAGCAAAATTCCAGGTGTTCCAAGCACTTACCTAGGGTTCAGTTTCCTTGGAATGAGGGACAGCAGAGACTGTGGTGTCATTTGGCTTTATGGTTTATTTACACATATATACAACCTGACCACAAGCATTAACACCTCAGAAAGTCTTGCCTCTTCCTTACTCACAGCCCTAGATTCTAGCAGAAATCAAACATGTCTCTGTGTCTCAGCTGCTGCTTGCAGCCTGCTTTTAGCTAAGGTCTCACATAACACATGGGATATAAATGCAATAAATAAATTAATAAAGTGGCTTTAACTGAGCTAAATAAGCTATTTTTTTCTTCCTCTCCCTCAGGGATGGTTTCCCTGATTCTCCTTATCTATCTGGCTTTCACCAGTTTCTGGCCCATTTCTGCTCTCTACCTGGTTTGGCTTATCTATGATTGGAATACACCTGAGAATGGTGAGTGAAGAAGCATCCTGGCTGTTTAGAGGGATTTTGTTTGAAGGTACAGCTCTTTTTTGTGTGTGTGCATTTGTCTTTAGGCATTTTGTTCTCCTTGAACATTAACTGAGGGTGGTTGCCACAGTAGTACCTTTTGGACCCTGCTTTCACAGGTCCATGAAATCATATAATTATGTGGAGTTGGAAGGGACCTCTAGGATCATGTAGTGACCAGCTGCCTGCAATGTAGGAATCACAGCTGAAGAATCCCTGACAGATGGCCGTCTGACCAGCTGCTTAAAGGACTTCAAGGAAGGAGAGTCCATGGGAGCCGGTTCCACTGTTGAATGATTCTTACCCTCAGAAAAATATTCCTAATGCTTCCATGATGGAGAAGTGCCTCAGCTAATGTTTTTTGTACACTGCGGATGAAAAATGGGATTCTACAATTCTGTGATTCTGTGATGAACGACTCGAGAATCACCTTTGTATCTGAGATGTTGGAATGACCATTCCCACTGATAGGAAAAAGGGAAACCAGGTTAGCAGGAGGTTTGTTTCAGCCACATGACTGCAAACACTCTGTGCATTCCTTGACAGTACTCCCAGCCTAGCCCATAATGTTTGCCCAGCTTTGTCACAAACCCAAAGTCCATCCAACGTCACTCCTCAGAGGTCTAAGTATCACACCTGACAACAAAGAGAGGAATCCCACAAGAGCAGCTCTCTCTTGTGTGGCAGGCTACAGAACGTGACATTTCTGCAAGAGAAGGGGCAAAGCAAACTTTTGTAGTGGTTCCTACATCACAGGTGTTTGGACTAGATGACCCTTTCAGATCTCTTCCATCTCTGTGTGATTCTGTGACCCTGTGAACAGGTCCAGGGTCAGGCAGTGTTTGGTTTCCTTTGGATGACACTCATAAGAACACAAGAAGAACTTGGTGCATCATGGCAATGACCCTTGCATTCCAGCATTCTTTTCCCACAGTGGCCAACCAGATGCCCCCAAAATGAATATCTGCTTTCACAGAATCATGGAGAGTTGCAAAGGGCCTCCAGAGGGTCATCTAGTCCAGCCCCCTGCGATGCATCACTGGGCTACTTGGAAAGGCAGGCACATAGCTATGGTGGACTTTACCTTCATTGACACAACAGTGATTATATATTTACAAATTGGTGGTGGGAGGTATGAAGTATGACCTGGTTTAGAAAGGTTTAGAAACTCAGGACCAGTTTACCTGAGAGATCGTTTTACCCCATATGAGCCCTCTTGACTACTTTGATGCACAGAACTGACACCATTACAGGTGCCACATAATCCCAGTCCCACATTTTTAAGAAATCAGTCTATTAGTGTGGTAGCACCTACACTTTGGAACTCCCTGCCTATTGACATCAGACAGGTACCTTCCCTGTACCTTTTTCGGTGCCTGTTAAAAACATTTTTGTTTAGGTAAGCCTACCCAGACATGTAGAACATTAATGTATGTTTTAATCTGGTTTTAGCTTATTTCTGATTTTTTTATTGTTAGAATGTTTTAAATACTTGCTTTCAGCTGTTTTAACCAATGGTCTTATTATTTGGTTCTCTCTGTAAACCGCTTTGAGGATGGCTTGTTTTGTTTTAACAATCAAACGGTGCAAATTTTAATGAAATAAATAAAGGCCATAAACCATTTGCTTTTTAGGAAGACCCTCCCAGACCAAATTTGAGGCACCTGCAGCAGACCCAGATGGAGGGGTCAGTGGCAGCAATTGCTGGACAGCAGACTTGTGTTTCCACGTACAATGGTTCCTGTCCCCCCCCTTTTAATTTTTCCTTCTTTTCCTAGAGTCATTATTACGTTCTATAACTCTTGGTTGCAAGGGCACTCAGAGGCTAGAATAAATCTGTCTTCCCATTTCTGCAGGTGGGAGAAGTTCTATTTGGGTCCGGAACTGGTCCATCTGGAATTACTTCCGAGATTATTTTCCGATTCAGGTAAGCACCAGTGTGTGGTACAAGGGTGCTTCTGGGTCTTCCCAGCCGTGGTGAGGCTGCAAGCCATGAAATCATAGAACCGTAGACTTGGAAGGGCCCCATGACTCATATAGTCCAACCACCTGCAACACAGGCATCACAGGTCAAGAATCCCTGACAAGTGGCCTTCCAACCTCTGCTTAAAAACTTCCAGTAAAGAAGAGCCCATCACCTTCTGAGTGAGTCTGTTCCATTGCAAATGGCTCTTACCTTCAGAAAATTATTTAGTCTGAATTATTGTTTATTGCCCTTTGAATCCATCAGGATCCTCCCCTCCAGAGCAGCAGCACAGAAGCTGCCTTTGTCTTCCATACAACAGTCCTTCAGATATTTGAAGATGGCTCTCATGTTCCCTCTAATTCTCATTTTCTCTAGGCTGAATATACCCAATTCCCTCAACCATTCCTCATAAGGCTTGGTTTCCAGGCCATCTTGGTTGCCCTCCTCTGCACACCTCCCACCTTCTTCATATCCTCCTTAAAATGAAATGCTCAGAACTGAACACAGGACTCCAGGTGTGGTCTGACCAAGGCAGAATAAAGTGGTCGCATGACTTCCCTTGATCTGAGCACTAGACTTCTGTTGAAGTAGCCTAGAACTGCATTAGCAGTTTTTGCTGCTGAATCACACTGTTGACACATGTTAAGCTTTTGGTGTACTAAGAGCACTTGGTCGAGTTTGTCAATATCGTTCTTTAATATCATTCAGCTGGTGAAGACTCATGACCTGCTCCCCAGCCACAACTACATCATCGGGATCCACCCGCATGGGATCCTCTGTGTTGGAGCTTTCGGCAACCTTGTCACTGGAGCCACCGGCTTCCATGAAAAGTTTCCTGGGATCAAACCCTTCCTGGCCACACTGGCTGGCAACTTCCGATTGCCTGTCTTCAGGGAATACCTAATGAGTGGGGGTGAGTGTCTTCTTCTGTGCTGTCTCCATTGAGATCCTGGGAAAAGGTGACAAGTCGGGTGCTGCAGGATTCTGTTCTGGGCCTTCTTGTTCAACATATTTGTAAAAATGTCTTGTATTAAGGAATTGAGGGGATATTCATCCAATTTGCAGATGTCACCAAACTGGGAGGGGTAGCAAATACTGCAGAAGACAGGATCGGGATTCAGGATGACCTTAACAGATCTGAGGACTGTGCCCAAACTAACAAATTGAATTTCAATAGGGACAAAAGTAAGGATCTAAAGTAGAATTTTCCAAAATTTTCGTGTTGGTGACACACTTTTTAGACATGCATCATTTCTCAACACAGTTATTCAGTTTTACTAGCAAATTGGAGATTAAACTAACCCCTTTCCAGCCCCGGGAGAAGTATAGGAAGCGTTCGCGTGACACACCTACATACTGCAGCTGACACACAAATGTGTCATGACACACAGTTTGGAAAGCTCTGGTCTACACTTAGGCAGGAAGAAGCAGCTGCACAAATAAAATATGGGGGACACCTGGCTTGCCAGTAGTACATGAGAAAAGGATCTAGGGATCTTCGTAGACCACAAGCTGAAAATGATTCAATAGTGTGATGCAGTAGCAAAAAAGCTAATGCTATTCTAGGCTGCATCAACAGAAATCTAGTGTCAAGGTCAAGGGAAGGAATAATATCACTGTATTCTTCCTTGGGCAGACCACAACTGGAATACTGTGTCCAGTTCAGGGCAGAATGATATTGACAAGCTGGAATGCATACAGAGAGAGTTAACCAAGATGATAAAAGGTCTGGAAACCAAGCCTTGTCAGGAACAGGTGAGGGAGTTGGGGATGCTTAGCTTGGAGAAGAGGAGACCTAGAGGTGACATGAGAGTCATCTTCAAATATCTAAAGGGTTGCCCAATTGAAGACGGAGCAAGCTTGTTTTCTGCTGCTTCAGAGTGTGGGATGAACCTATGGATTCAGGTTACATGAAAGGAGATATCAGGAATAATTTTCTGACAGTAAGAGCTGTTCAACAGTGGAATGGACTCCCCTGAAAAGTGATGGACTCTCTTTCCTTGGAGGTTTTTATCAGAGGTTGGAGGGACATCTGTCATGGATGCTTTAGTTGTGATTCTTGCATTGCAGGGGGTTGGATTACAGGGCTCTTGATGGTCCCTTCCAACCCTGCAATTCTATGATTTGATTCCCTGTGCAGATGTCTCTGTGCTGGTCCCGGGGGGAAGGTTACTGTTGGCGTAGTCAAAGTCCGGTCCTGGGTCACTAGCCTGGAAACAGTTCACAAGGAGCAGGGCGAGGTCCGAAGCAGGAAGCCGGGCGGGGACAGGAACACTGGAGGGTCAGGTCTGGGTCCGGGCAGGAACAGGTACTCAACAACGACGTTGCTCCCGCAACCTGGGACCGGGCTGACTGGCCTTTATCTTCTCTGAGGCCAGGGGCGGTCCCGGCCCCCAGGAGACCCACCTCTCCTGGCCTTAAGGCGAGCACTCCTCCTGGGAGAAACCAGTTCCCTTCGCCTCTCTGCCCTGCGCCTCTGCAGTTCAGGAGAGGCTGAAGGGTTACTGGGCCCAGGGGGAGACTCACCTGTAGGCACTGAGTCCTCAAGCACCTCTGGAGCCAGAGTGGATTCACCTGGTGCCTGCTCCTGAGGATCTGGCACAGGTGCAGGCGCCTCAGAATCAAGGCCCTGCCCCAGTTCAGCCAGCCCTGGAGGCGGGGCCTCCTGTGCAGGCTGGGATTCCTCTGGTTCACCCTCTGAATCGGATTCCCAGGCCATCACAGTCTCTTTATTATATCATCAGCCCTTTAGGTCTAAAAAGAAATGACTTGGGCATGCAACAGCCCTGCAAGTTGGTGGGGATGACGACGACTTCTAACTCTCTTCTGATTCTGTGGCCCTTTAGGTCTCTTCCCTGTGACCCGTAAGGCAATAGAATACCTCATATCCCGGAATGGGACTGGGAATGCTGTAGCGATTGTAGTTGGTGGTGCAGCAGAGGCCCTCTCCTGTCGGCCAGGAGTGACAACGCTGATCCTGAGTGAGCGCAAGGGGTTTGTTCGGATGGCGCTCCGACATGGGTGCGTACCACCAGTTGAACATTACATTCCTTTCCTAGCTGACAGGTGGCAGAGAGACCTCAGGATGGCCAGAAACTTAAGATGCCAATGGCATTTGAAGAGTCCTTCAGATGAATCAGAAGAAAGGTACCACACTGGCCAACCAGTGGCCCCTGGTTTGGACTAGGCAACCCGTTACGTTCCTTCCAACTCTATAATTCTATGTTTCTATGAAACTCTAGCAGCAATATTCAGCAGCACGTGTATTTTGATTCTGGAGGGTCAAGGAAGCTACTATCATGGTTGTTGTAGTTGTGGGTAGCTCCTGCACAGAATCCTAGGAGGGTCTCCTAAGGGACATCTAGCCCAACTCCTTGAAATGCAGGAGTGGAGTCACAGCTGCAAGAATTCCTGGCAGACAGTCAGGGCCGGATTTAGGTTTGATGAGGCCCTAAGCTACTGAAAGTAATGGGGCTCTTTATATGTCCAGCTGTCCTTTGTCAACAACAAATTGTTGCTGTTTTTTTGTACTGAATACATGCTATATGGTAATTTATGGACCTAATAGGTCCATACACAACACAAACACTGTTGCTGTATGTAGGTTTTATTTTATTTGTTTTTAAACTTATATTTTGAAAATGTACATCCAGGTTTTTTTTTTTCCTTTTAAGTTTTTTGGGGGCCCTCGATTGCAGACAGCAATCCAACCTCTGTATAAAAGGTTCTAAGGAAGGAGAGTCCACCACCTTCCAAGGGAGTCCATCCCACTGTTGAACGACTTTCACCACCAGAAAGTTCTTCCCAATGTTGAGTTGGAATCTTCTTTCTTGTTATTTGAACCCATTGGTTCAGGTCCTCCCCTCTAGAGCCGCCGAAAACAAGCTTGCAACCCTTTCGATATTTGAAGATGGCTATCATGGCACCTCTTTATCATCTCCAGGCTAAACATCCCCAACTCCCTCCATCATTCCTCACAAGGCTTGGTTTCCAGACCCTTGCTGCAAATAACAGGGACCTGGTCGCTCACTGCGAGAAGAGGATGCTGGACTTAGTTGGATCACTGGCCTGATCCAGCAGAGCTCTTCCGCAACCTTCAGGCACAGAGGCAATCTATCTTGATTCCTTATGGCATTTGGCCACTGTGGCCATTCTGTTCTCAAAGTGGCATTTGGTCACTGTGAAAACAGGATGCTGGACTTAGATGGGCCCCATTTGGCCTGATCTAGCAGCCACACTCTTTTCATCTTCTTGTGTGTTAGATTTCTGAGGGGAGTTCTTTATTCCTGGGGCAGGGGGCTCTTGATCATAGAATTGTAGAGTTGGAAGGGAGCTTAAGAGTCAACTAGTTTACCCCCCCTTGCTGTTTAAGAATCACAATCTCATGTTTTCTCATGATTTATTGTTTTTTTTTTAATGTATTTTCATTAAAGATTTTCTTAATTTACAAAAGTATGTGCAATGTCTCTCTCTCTCTTTCCCCCCCTCCAAGTAACATTTTTACAGATCAGTTTCATTTGTTGAGACATTCAGAAAAAGAATGTCTAGGGTGTGGTTGGCCTAGGGTGTGGTTGTTCATTTGTGATTGGCTGTGGTGATCTTCGTTTTCATGTGTGAGTGGGTGGGTGTTTTGGATCAGGTTAGCCATATTGAATTGTATGATGTTGGTGGATTTTTGTCATTGTCTTGTTGGGCTGTGTATGTGATTGTTTTCAGGTGGTTTCTGTCTTAACATCCCTCCATGCTTTCTTTCTTCAAGGGCCCATCTGGTTCCTGCTTTCTCCTTTGGGGAGAATGACCTTTTCCAGCAGGTTCTCTTCAAGGAAGGGAGCTGGATGCGGAGAATCCAGGACAGATTCAGAAAGATCCTGGGCTTCTCCCCCTGCTTTTTTTATGGAAGGGGATTCTCCTCTGTTCGTTCCTGGGGACTCCTTCCTTTCCCCAGACCAGTCACCACTGTCAGTGAGTATTTCCTGACCCCAGAGGCGTAGCGGGGGGGGGGGGGAATGGGACCATGGGGGCGCAAACAGGAGCCCCCACAGCAGGCTTCTTCATAATAGCCTACCTCCACACCAGAAGGAACACCGCCTTGGCTGCAGCAACTGTGCCTGGTGCAGTTCTGCTCCCCCCCCCCCCGGTCAGGCTTGATCTGGGGGAGGAGAGCAGACAAGTGGGTGGCAGCGCTGCCGCCCACCCTCCTCGGCCATGGCACACCTTGCACCCAACAGCAGCGGCTCTGCCGCTGGGTCACTACTGACCAGGCAGTGGAGAGCATCCCACCTTGGCCGTGGCGAGGTGCGCTCGGCCGCAATAGCTCCACATTCGTTGCCGGGTCAGGCCTGACCCAGTGGCAGAGAGTAGGGGAGAGTTGGCAGCCGCTTCCCCACCCCTCTCTTAACCCTGAACTGTGGCTCATGGAGGGTGTCCGCCACGCTACCCTCGGGGGGTGCTCCACCCGCCTGCCCCAGGCAGCGCGGGCATACGCTCCACCGCTGCCTGACCCACCCACACCCTCAAATGGAATAGCTGTAGCTCACTGCATTATGGCTCACAGTAGTCTGTAGTCTCTCACTGAATCATGGGTTTTGTAATCTGAAATCTCTCATTGCATCATGGGGTTCATAGTTTGTATATCATTGGGGAAAGGCTGTAACTCAGTGGTAGAGCATCTGCTCTGCATGCAGAAGGTCCCGGGTTCAATCTCTGCAAGCATGTCTGGATAAGACTGGGAAACAGTCCCCTTGCCTGAAACCATGCAGAGCTTCTGCCAGTCAGTGTAGGCAATACTGAGCTTAATGGACCAAGGGTCTGTCTTGGTCTAAGGTGGTTTCCTATGTAGTATTATTATTAACCATTTTATTTCTATACGGTTTTATATTTATAAAGAAAAAAATTCTAAAAGCGGTTCACAACACATTAAAACATAAAATAAAACAATGCAGAATAAAACATTACTTAAGGAAGTCATATATTAAATTATACATTCAAAACAATATAATTAATAGGAAATGAAAATATAATCTTAAACATTACAAAGGTGTCAGCTACGGAATGCACATTTAACTCATCACAGTTAAGAGAAAAAATTCAAAAGAAAACATTACTAAAGGAAGTCAAATATAAAATGCACATTTAAAATAGCATAATTAAAGAGAGAGTAACATATGTACCCTGAGGGGTCCACATCATCTCACCTTGGTCTTGCAGGTGATTTGAACTAGATTACCTTGGGTGGATCTCCCCAGCCCTATACTTCTACTATTCTATGAGGTCCTCCTCCTTTTTTGTCCTTCTGCACATGTTCAGCCTCTCCTTTCTTCTTCCCTCCTTAGTTGGAGAGCCCCTGGTGGTGCCCAGGATGGAGAACCCAACCTGTGAGATGGTGGATCGCTACCATGCCATGTACATCCATTCTCTCCGCAAGCTCTTTGACGACCACAAAGCCATGTACGGGTTGTCAGAGACGGCCGAGCTTCGGATCCTATGACTGAGATTGGCAACAGGAGGGTGGAGGGAGGAGACAAAGGTGCCAACAGGTTCCTGCCCCTCAGCAAGGGCTCCCTCACCTCTTATACCAGGCCCATGCTTGCCTTGCCAAGTTCCAAGTCCCCCAGCAACATAGCCTTAAAAACTGTTTTGCCCATGGACTCCCTGATTTTCCTATTTGGCCGCAGTAAAGAAACTGTTCTAACAGAGGGCAGGAAATTGAGGCAACACCTCTTAACTGCTGCCAGAAATAATTATTTGACAAAAATGGGGGGGGGGGGATTGAACACCATCCATGAGAGAATCATATAACCATAACATTGTAGAGTTGGAAAGTACCCTGTTGGGTCATCTAGTCCAACCCTCTGCAATGCAGGAATCACAACTAAATAATCCCTGACAGGTGGATAATGGATAACTAAAATATGGGACATAGTATGCATAATTAAACTTAAACAATTGATGAGAACTAGAGAGGGAGGGCAACAAGATAGTGTCTAAAAATGGAGTATTTTTATAATGTTCTGGAGTAATAAGATAAACCCACATGTGTTAGTTGTCACCTTGTGATATTAATTTATTACATTTGATTTTGGAAATCTGTTCCTATGTGCTTAGCTCTGGCTATCCCCTATGTATTTGGCATCTGCCATTATACTTTGTTCCGTTTTATTATAAATAAATGTATGTTTTGTTAAAAAAAGGATTGACCAGTCGACGACAAGGAAAAAAACTACTGCCAGCCTGAGTAGATAATACTGAGCCACATGGATCAATGGATTTCTTTACGCAGCGTGTAGATATACTTATTACTCTAACCTAGACATCTTCAAAAGAAGGTTCGACAAATTCATGAAGGAGGAAAGGCTGTACTCTGCCTACATCATCGGAGGCAGTGAAGCTTTTGAATATCAGTTGCTGGAAACCACAGGAGGGGAGAGTGCTGTTGCACTCATATCCTCCTCATAGGTATCCCATGGTGGCCGCTGTGAAAACAGGACACTTTGGCCTGAAACAGCTGTTGCAGGTCTGAGCTTAGTTTCTTATGATTCCTAAGTGGAATCTCCATGAATGGAGCCAATCTAACATTGAATGGGGGGGAACAGTCTTCCAGTTTGGAGGTAGTGCTGTGAAACATGTCTTTCATTTCTCTCCCGACCAACAAGCTTTCAAACTACTGAATTATCAGGCTGCTTGGACAAAGACTCTGGTTATCAGTAAAAAAAACCCTCCTATTATATATTATTTCCTTCTGACAAGGTATAGCCATGAAGAGCTAGAGCTAATGAGGGGTAGCTTCTTCAAGTTCAACTGTGTCACTATTGGTTGAGTCAAAGAAAATGGTGGAGGAGGACTCGAATACTGATTTAGTGAAAGCGATCCTGTCTCAAATACAAGTTCTGAAGCCAATCCGAAAAGTCTTGGCAGAGCTTAAGAATGATCTGAAGCAGATGCAAGATAGATGGTTCACTATGAAGATCGTTTGAATATCCATGAGACCGTTACTCAAGCTAGCCATAATATTCTGGATAAACGAATTACCTGTTTGGAGTCATAGTTACACTGGAAAAATCAGTGTATAATTGGCATTGAAAATCCTCCAACTCAAGCAAAGTATATGGTGCAGAGCATACATACCTTGCAACATTTCTCTGATGAAAACAGGGACATCCCATTCCATAATAATTTTACTATTTATACCCTACCCATCTTACTCAGTTGCCCCAGCCACTCTGGGCGGCTTCCAACATAATAAAAACATAATAAAACATTAAACATTTAAAAAAACTTCCCTATACAGGTTTGCCTTCAGACAGTTTGGGGGTTGGATAACTCCATACCCTCCGGCATTTTTCCAATGAAAATAGGGACATCCCACATACCCTACAACATTTCTCCAATGAAAATAGGGTCACCCTAAGGAAAAGTGGGAGAATCCGGGATCAAATCAGGGATGTCCCTGGAAAATAGGGACACTCGGGGCCTGGACTATATGGTGGATTTTTTCAAAAAGCTTCTCTCTCTGGGAAGGTACTTCCCAATTGAGATAGAACACGTTACCTTAATTCCTGTAACAAGCCAGAGGACTGCAACTCTTTCAAATATTATGATTGTGCAATTTCTGCATGTCACTGCAAGAGACAAGATTCTACATACATTTTGCCAACAATCAGTAAAATCTCTGCTGAAATGGAATCAAAATTAGATAGCAATTTATCCTGACTTTAGTAAAGAAATGTCTGAAAAGCACAGACTTTCCACAAAAGCACCAACTCTTGCAAGGTCAGAACAACTCCAATATTTCATGTGCTTTCCAGCTACATTCTGCATTAACCATGAAGATCAAATTCACAAATTTGTCAGTCCCTCGAATGCAGAGGCCTTTATCTTAATCAAATTTGCAGATGATCAGACATGATGATTTAAGGAAGAAATGTAAATCTCTGAAGATGTCCTCGAGAGGTTTCATTTTGAATGACTCTGTGTTTTCACTTTCTTTTTTCTTTCTCCTCTCATTTGTTTTCTCATACTGACCCATTCTGATAAAAAGTCTGGGCATACTGTCAATAAAAGAAATCAGCATTTTGCCAACTTGTATATCAATTTATTCTGATCCTATTTCTTTTCATATAACCACATTTTCTATTTTAAAAAACGGTGTATCAATATTGTCCGGAAAATATATGCAGTAGAATTGAATTTAAATGCTAAGCTAAGTGCCTATGGATGTTCTGCACCTATGAGTGATATTAGAAAATCTGATATATGCTCAAAGATGGAAAAAAGATATTACTAAATGTTTGTTAAATGGTCCAAGTCATAAAATAAAGTGGTATTTGGAAAACCTTGATAAGGGGGGGGGGGGGAAATAAAATTATTGGATGAAGTTAGTTCATTTTAATGTAAAAGGGTTGTGAGAATCTAAGAAGCAAAATGTAAGTTTAGCATATTTAAAATTGTTAAGGGCAGATATTGCTTATTTACAGGAGATTAATCTAATGGAACGGGATAAATTATTATTAATGAAACATTGGGTGGGATAAGTTTATCTTACAAGTACTGTGGCAAATCCTAAATGTGGCCATTTTGGTCCGAAAAGGATTTTCAGCCAGGTTATTACTGATGCAAATTGGTGTTATTAAATTTTATGCACAAAAATAGAAGAGATGGTAATAGCTTTGGTTAATGTTTATGGACCTAATTTGGATTCTCCTGAAATGTTTTGGACACTTGAATGAGTGTACTTACGATAAATTGAAAATAGAAGATTTTAATTAAGTATTAGAGGTACTACTCCTCCCCTTACACCTCAGTTCTTCAGTTGTTGATAGATGGAAAGGCGAATGATCTGAAAATGAATATTATCCCCAGATTAATCTATATTTTGAGAGGAATTCCGCTTCATATATTTGGAAAATATTTTCAGAAAACAAATCCTTTCTTTAGAAAATGTCTATGGGGTTCTTCACCTCTGAGAATATCTTTACAGAAAATGCAGCTACAAATTAATGAAGGAAGATTTGGTGTTCCAAATATGGAGCTGTGCTACATTGCTTCCTTAATGGCAAGTATTAAATACTGGAAACCCACCAATTGGTGTTAAATTTCCAATCTGGACAATTTTAGAATATATTGTACATTTATAGCACCTTTGCTTGGAAGGACAGTATTAGGAATAAAATATTTTAGAACTCGGGAATCTCTGGAAACAATTATGTCAGTTAGAAAGATATGGAATATTATGTCTAATAAAAAGTAGGTTTGACTCATGTTCTCATGCTAACTTGACTTTGTGGGAAAACCCAACTTTAAAAATTGGGGGGAAAGATGGCAATTGGAAAATTTGGATGGAAGCAAGCCTATTGCCTTTGGATCAACTGACTTTTTAACATACACTGTTCCATGAGATAAATACCATCTATTGGATATAAACCCACAGGCACTACTTGCAGCTCTTAATAGTGATATAGTGATATACCTTTTCTTTTGTTTGTTTTTTCCACTTTCATTTTAAGTTGTTCAATTAAACTGTTCTTTAAAAAAACAACAACAGAATGCAGGAGAGCAGGAGTGGGAGAAGGCTACTGTTTTCAAATCCAGCTTGCAGGCTCCCCATTGGGGCATATGGGTGGCCACTGTGAGAACAGGAGGCTGGACTAGTTGAGCTATTGGCTATTCTCCTCCCTCCTTACTGAATCCCCCCAACAACCCTGTAAGGTGGACTAGGCTGAGAGGCAGCAACTGGCCTAGAAATCACCCAGGTGAGCTTCATAGCCAAGTAGGGATTTGAATCCTGGTCTCTGCCAGGTCCTAAAAAAGGTAAAGGGACCCCTGACTATTAGGTCCAGTCGTGACTGACTCTGGGGTTGCGGTGCTCATCTCGCTTCATTGGCCGAGGGAGCTGGCGTACAGCTTCCGGGTCATGTGGCCAGCATGACTAAGCCGCTTCTGGCGAACCAGAGCAGCACACGGAAATGCCGTTTACCTTCCCGCCGGAGCGGTACCTATTTATCTACTTGCACTTTGATGTGCTTTCGAACTGCTAGGTGGGCAGGAGCAGGGACCGAGCAACGGGAGCTCACCCCGTCGCGGGGATTCAAACCGCCGACCTTCTGATCAGCAAGTCCTAGGCTCTGTGGTTTAACCCACAGCGCCACCCATGTCCCCTGCCAGGTCCTATTCCACATCTAATCCCCACAACAACCCTGTGAGGTAGGCTAAACTGAGAGGCAGAGACAGGCCTCCAAGCTCAGCCAGCAAGTTTCACAGCTTCTCCTGCTTTCCCTGTGGAGCGCAATGATTTGAAGGGGTCAGCAATAAGGAGGAGAGTTTAAAGGAGCAAGCCCTCCTATTTTTCAGGGACATCCCTGATTTAGAGAAACCACCCCAGTTTCTGATTTCATCCCAGAATGCCATTTTTCCTTAGGAGAATGCAGGAACCACAGCTTCCTTTTCATCAGAGAAACGTTGGGGGTATGTAGTTACCCGACCCCCGAACCATCTGAAGACAATTCTGTATAGTGGAGGTTTTTTTTAATGTTTAATGTTTTATTACATTTTTACATATGTTGGAAGCTGCCCATAGTGGCTGGGGCAAACCAGTCAGATGTGGGAGGTATAAATAGTAAAATTATCATTATGGAATGGATGTCCCTATTTTCATCGGAGAAATGTTGGAAGGTATGGGATTCAATAGGGCCTTAACAGTCTGGAGAACTGGGCCAAAAGAATATCAGCAGGAACAACTTAGGTAGGAATAACCAGGTGCACAAATATAGGGTTGGGGGATACCTATTTTGATAGCAGTCCACATGAAAACAATCCAGAGGTCTCAGTAGACTACAAGCTCAACCTGAGCTAATGCTATTCTAGGCTGCATCAACAGAAGTCCAGTGTACAGATGAAGGGAAAAAATAGCACTGCTCTATTCTGCCTTGGTCAGGCCACACCTGGAGTCCTATGCCTAGTTCTGGGTACCAATATTGACAAAGCTGGAAACTAGGCAGAGGAGGGTTACCAGGATGATAAAGGGCCTTGCAGCCAAGTCCTGTGAGGAACAGTTGATAGAGTCTTTATATCAATAGAAATGGTCTCCCTGAAAGTTGCATAAAGTTGGAAGGACAGGAGAGGGCAAGCATCCATCAAAGCCAAATGTTGTCTAGTGCTGGAATACTGCATGGAACACAATCAGAAGCCCTTCAAAACTGACTTCCAGAAAGATCTGGAAACAGCTAACTATTAAATTAACAGACATGGTTAAAGAAGGAGAGAGGTTTAGATAAGTCAGTATAACTCTGTGTTGGAAGACTTATAAAAGCATAGATTTGTAGAGTTGGAAGGCACCCCAAAGGGTTTTCCAGTCCAACCCCTTGCAAAGCAGGAATTCCCGCTCAAGATTCCCTTACAGGCAGCCATTCAAACTCTGTTTAAAAACCTTCAGAACAATGAAATGGAGCACATCCCACAGTTAGATTTCACCCACAAGCTGGGAAATGGGGGCCAGAGTCAGTGCGTGCCTGGTTCTGGGCCTTTTGAACAAGCTCTGGTGCAGCTTTCCCCTATAGAGGTTCCCAGCCAGGAAGTAGAGGACAGGATCAATGCAGCTATTGGCACTGGCCAAGGGCCTGGTGATTTTGTAGGCCACATTCACAGCGTTGAGTGTGCGACAGTCGGCCTTGAGCAGCCGAGAGGTATAGTAGGCGGTCCGCGTGATGTGGAAAGGGAGGAAGCAGATGACGAAGACCACCACGACCACCACAATCATTTTGACAGAGCGTGCCTTGTAGGCAGGGACCTCCTGGCCAGAGTGAGGTCTCCACAGCTTCTGGGCCATCTGGCAGTAGCAGATGAGGACAACCAGGAACGGAAGGCCAAAGAGGAGGGCCATCACTGAGGAGCTGTAGCGTACGTAGTGGCCAAATTCGGCTGGCTTTGTGGTGTCGTGGCAGAGGGTATCGTTTCCCCGGGCACTGATGGTGACGAAGACCAGGTTGGGGATGAGGCAGGTGGCAACCACCGCCCACACTCCCCCACAAATCAGGTGGGCGTGCCTCGTTTTGACCCACCTGAGAGCCTGGATGGGATGGCAGACCGCCACGTAGCGGTGGATGCTGATGCAGGTGAGGAAGAGGATGCTGCTGTAGAGGTTGGCATAGAAGAGGAAGCGCACCACCTTGCACATCCCCTCCCCGAAGGGCCAGTTGTTGCGGTTGGCATAGTAGTAGACCAGCGTGGGGAGAGAGAGGACGTAGAGGGTGTCGGACAGGGCCAGGTGGAACATGTACGTGGTGGTGGCATTCCAGGGCCGCATCCTGGAGATGAGTGCCCACAGGGAGTAGGAGTTGAGGATGAGGCCCACCACACAGACAGTGGCATAGGAGACAGGCAGGAGGATGAACTTGAACTCCTCATTGAAGATGCAGTTCTCCTTCTCCTCTCTAGTGCTGTTACCACCAGTGGCATTCCCAGCCCTGGGTGTGGTGGTGAAAGCCGCCATAGGAAGTGGCACCATCAGGCTGCCCATCTCCTGAAAATCAGGGAGAAAAAAATGCTTCACAAAGGCTGGTGGCCATAAGCTTCTCGGGTGGAGACGCAGAATGAGCACCTGACCAGAAATTATTTAGCTGTGATTCTTGCATTGACCCTTGAGGGTCCCTTCCAACTATACAATTCTATAATTCTATGACGACGATGATATTATTAGAACATAAGAAGATCCTGCTAGATCAGACCAATGGCCCGTCTAGTCCAGCCTCCTGCACTAGATGCCCTTTATGGGAAACCTGCAAGCAGGATTCAAGCACAAGAGCCCTCTCTCCTCCTGTGGTCTCCAGCAGCTGGCATTCAAGATCGTTGTTTCCTCCAATTGTGGTGGTAGAGCATGACCATCCTGGCTAGTAGCTATCACTAGTCCTGTCATCCTCCAAGACTGTGTCTAATCCACTTTTAAGCCATCCAGGTTAGTGCCCATCACTGCCTCCTGGGGGAGGGAGTTCCATAGTTTAACAATGTGATGCATGAAGAAGGACTTCCTATTACCTGTCCTGAATCTTCAAACATTCAGCTTCATTGGATACCCACAAGTCCCAGTGTTATGAGAGAGGGAGGAAAGCTTTTCTCTGCCCACTTTCTCCAGGTCATACATAATTCTATAAACTATCATGTGATCTAGTACTCTCATCATCACCATCACCATCATTTCATTTATAGGCCACCTTTCCTCCAAGGAGCTCTAGGTGGTATACATGTTGTTCCCTCTCCCAGTTTTATCTTCACAACAACTCTGCAAGGTAGGTCAGGCTGAGAGGTGGCAGCTTACTCCAAAGGTCACCCACTGAGCTTCAGGGCCAAATGGGAATTCTAATCCTCATCTCTCTCAGGTCCCCGTCTGTCCCTCTAACCACTGGTATCACATGGGGCTGGCCTGCCCCACCCTTCCATTCCGGTGTGAGGATTATTAGAAAAATGATTGAGATCCTGTATGCCAGGCCCATGAAGCTAAAGAAACCCCTGTTTTCACTGCTGTCAGTGAGGACATTGTGGTATAATGGTCAGTGTCAGACTAGAAACTGGGGGGTTGAAATCCCTTATCAACCAACCACATGCAGTGGCGGAGGAAGCCACTCGGGCATTTGAAGCAGCACGTCCAGGGATGGGGCGAGCCGCCCATAGGGGCAGGGCGCACCGTGGGGCCTCCAGAGTCTGCCTGCCTCCTCCCACTCAGCTGCCCTACAGCTGGGGGGCGGGGGAAGGAGGCGGCAGGCGACCTGTTTGGGCAGTGCGGAGCCTGCATGCACCCAAGCCACTGTGTCTCTCCCAGGAGAGATGCGTGGCTTGGGCGTTCTGCAGGCCCCGTGGTGAGTGCCGCCCAGCATTCTGTCACCCGCCTCAGTGGTGACACCCGGGGCAGACTGCACCTACCACACACCCCTTCCTCTACCCCTGAACAAACACATGAAGCTCGCTGAGTGATCTTGGGCCAGCTACTGTCTCTTTAAAGCAAACCAGGTTTTCTTTTTGCCCTCAGAAAGCAGCTGTGAGAGAAGTTCCTCCAAAACAACCACCCCATCACGTGCCCAGAGCGTGGAGGGAGATGGAAAACTCTTCTCCTGCTGCACATGTTCAGATATATAGGGTTGTGGGTGCTGTCCTACACACACTAACCTGGATGTAAGTCCCAATGAGCTCAATAGGACTTGCTTCTGAGTAGACATGCATAGGATTGCACTGAGCTGTGATTCCTGCACTGCGGGGAAGTGGGCTAGATGAGGTCCCTTCCAACTCTACTGGAAGGAGGTAGAGCTCTCCTTAATTGCAAGTTTTTAAGCAGAGGTTGGGTGGTCATCTGTCAGAGATTCTTTAGCTGTGATTCCTGCCTGGGTGGGTGGGATGGTGGTCAGACTAGAGGACTCTTGGGGAGAGGATTGCCCTAAAGGTGGAGGAGGCTACAGCTAAGGGAATGTGGGATTCCCTTATCCCCCTACTCACCTTCCGTCTTGAGGATTCGAGCAGAGTGAGAAAACAGGAACAACTTCCTGGTGAAACCTGCCCTGAATGTCCCCCGCCCTCTAATTCAAGCTGCTCAAATAATCCCGCAGAGCTAACAAAAGAGCCTTTGTGAGAATGGCTGGCCCCTCTAGAAAAAGGATTCTTAATCGGTGTCGCCCAAATGCAGGGTCACCCAGGGAAAAATAATGTCTCAAAGGGATCTTTGTGCTGCCGCAAAATCTTGTGGAACTACCAAAGGCAACTGTAGAATGCTGGTATTTCCCATCTGGTCCACGAGAGTGCAGCCGCTTTGCCCCTTCCCCTATTGATTGAGAGGCAATGTTGTTTAGTGGTTAGAGTGTCGGGCTAGGACCTGGGAGATGCAAGGGTTTAAAACCCCCACTTGGCCACGAAGCTCAATGTGTGTGACCATGGAGGCCACTAATTGCATCTTTCAGCCTGACCTACCTCACAAGGTTGTTGTGGGGATGAATTGAGCAGTGGGGGAACCATGTAAGACATCTAGTGATCCTGGGAGAGAAAAGATATATCTCCTTAAATATGGGGAACCAATCTAGTATTCACCCATGGTTGGGGACTACAAATCCCATCTTTCCCCTGACCATTGGTCATGTTGGCTAAGGCTGATGGGAGTTGTATCCCACAACCACTGAAAGACACCATATCAGCTAACTGTACTATGCAGGATGACCAGCCTTGGTTTGCGAGATGACCACTGACCATCCACACAGGACAGTAACCTAATAGCAGCCTGGTTTTACAACCCTCAAGCCAGCCTCGTCTGTGCAGGAAGCACCTCCCCCTTCCCCTTGTATAACTAATTGCATTTGATGAAGCTAACTACGCTGATGATGCCTGGTTCCCCGCTCCCCTGAATGTGAACACGCTGACCTGTCTGAACTCTTAATTTACAGGCTGATTCATTTTATCAAGGCAGCCCCAGCTAATCTTGGGTAGATAATAACCAGAGCCCTTGTCGGCTAAATCGATTAAGCATATCTCATTTGCAAGATAAGCTCCAATTGCCCTCACAGCAATTAAGATGCAGCTTGGTCTCGTTGTACCCTAGCAAAAGAGCCCGCTGGGGCTGACCGCTCAGGGTGAGGAGAATTCAATGGGCTTCGTTTTGTTCCGGAGAAACCAGAGACACGGCTGTGACTTTCAATCTGGCATGTTCAGCTCATTGAATATGTTTTGGGCTCTCATAGAATGCTCCCTCCTGCTATGGGAAGTTTCCTTATTATGGCCAATTTTTGAAGTCTGAAATAAAATGTGTTGTATTCTCTGTTTTTTGAGTGGTGTAGATTCCCCCACTCCCCTGATTTTATTTATTTTTGTTACATTGAGTACACTGTTTAGCCCTGATAGTTAATGGAGTAAAAATACATTAGGGGTTGGACTAAATGACCCTTGGCATCCCTTCCAACTACAATTCTATGATTCTGTGATTCATTGGGGGGTTTTAAAGCAGAGGTTGCCTCTCCATCTGTCAGGGGTATTTTTAGTTGAGATTCCTGCATCAAAGCGGGTTGGACTAGATGACCCTTGGAGTCCTTTCCAACTCTACAATTCTGATTCTATGATTCATTGGAGGATTTAGGAGTTGGGGATTTGGATCAAGTGAGTTAGGGGAGGAATTAGCAGCCAGCAGCAGTTCTAATGAGCTGATTCTAATGAGCTCCTCTGCAAGCTCGTGACCTGGACTTGCAAATGGGCATTTGTGAGGCATTTTGAAGGGGAGGCCCAGAGAACCAAGAGACATAGAGAGCGAGGGAGCTGCTGCAGTGACCTGCAACACCTCTGCCATGTTTGTCTTCCTGCCTGAGCATGTGCAAAGCTACACCTGCAACAAGTGCAAGCTGGTTGCCTTGCTGAAAGAGAAGGTCCAGCAATCTGAGGCCCACCTAGAAACAATTTGAGCTACTGGGCAAGATGAGGAATTTCTCAGTGGAGCAGAGAGTGGACTGTCCTGGAACAGTGATGTGTGTGCAAGGTGGAGGAAGATCACCCATTGCAAGAGATGGTCTCCTGGAGGTACGTGATGCACAGAAGCAAGTCTGTCAGGAGTCATGCAGTGTCTCTCGAGCTGCAAAATCGATTCCATGCCTCATCTCAAATTCTGGGCCAGGGGAGCAAGGACATTAGTCACAGAGGTGGCTGTGGAAGGTGCAGTGCACAGAATGATTTCTGCCACTCCCCAGAGGAGGAAGACACATGAGGTGGTGGTACGTGACTCCCTACTGAGGGGCACAGAGGCAGCAGTGTGCGGAGGGAAAAGGATGTCCCAGGAGGTGTGCTGTCTTTCAGGTGGAAAGATTAATGATGTGACAGAGAAGTTGGCAAGTCTTATAAAGCCCACTGACTACAGCCCCTTCCTTCTGATCCATGCGGGTGCAAATGACACAGCCTTTGACATATAGTAAGAGACTATGACATGAGTCTGGGCAGGATGGGACTCTGGGGGTAATCTAGTTAAACCCCTCTGAAGAAGGAGAAAACAACCTTGCTCTGTCTTTCACACAGGAGTCGTACAGGTATTTGAAGATGGTGTTTAGAAGACATCTGAAGGCAGCCCTGTTTAGGGAAGTGTTTAATGTTTTATAGACTATTGTATTTTAATCTGTTGAAAGCCGCCCAGAGTGGCTGGGGAAACCCAGTCAGATGGGTGGGGTATAAATAATAAATTATTATAATATTATTATTATTATTATTCACCAACAGAATTTGGACTAGTCTGAGATTATCCTCCTAACCATTTCCAGAGCAGGTACAGAGGATTATTGATCATGTGACTAGTCTGAGATTATCCTCCTAACCATTTCCAGAGCAGGTACAGAGGATTATTGATCATGTGGATTACATCTCCTCTTTCAGCTGGTAACTTTAACTTTAACCCTGCATTGCAGGTGTTAGGCTACATGGTCCTTGTGAACCTTATAACTCTACAGTTCTATGATTCTAATGAAGACATCATGTCAAAGGCATTACTTTACAGGATCCTTAGTGGTGAAGTAA